AATTGAAGCTTATGTTGAAACATAAACCTGCTCAATGAAAAAATCAGACCACTAAATGAAGGAGTATAGATGAGGAACCGCTTCACCTCATTGATTGCTTTATGAAAAGTAGAGGAGGGAAGAAAAACAAAACAAGATGCTCAGTCAAATAATACTATACAGAGGTTATCGCTAGTGGTTCCAAACGGTAACAGGTATGAACGAATTATCTTCAAAATGACATCAATAAAAGATATTCTGAATGTACATGCTGCGAAGATTCACAAATAGAATAAATCCGTGTTAACTGTACATGGTAGCCGTACTAGTTCGCATTAGTCCACCACACTCTTGCATTTGTGTGAGAAAACATGCTGAAGTTTTTAGTTTTATCCTATTTCCACACATTATGCAAAAAAATGTGATGCCACAAGCATCGTACCAACCACAAGAATCACTACGCTAAGGGACACATTCTTTAAAATTTAGCTTTTTTTTACCTATATTGCTACAGCCATTTTTTCTGGCATAGGGGAGGCGACTCCTAATTATTATTATGAAATACGTTTGATTCAACATCTGATCATAGTCTGATTAAATCATTTATATTTATTGATAACCTATCATGCATAACCTCCACGGGATACAGGCAATCAATAATATAACAACAGGGAAGGTAGTACCTGGTTACCGTGCTGGTTTATTCCCAAACTGATGAACAGTCATAGATCTTAAGTACTTATTAACAATCATAGACCGTTCTTCTAATTCACTTAAGTCTTATTTTTCCAAGCCAGGGAGTGTACATATGTATACGGCATGAAGTTGTATTCAATAGAAATGACTACAAGGGTCTCCATCAATGAAAACCAGTGCAAATTGAACACTAGATAATTATATAATATAGCCTACGTCACTGTTATGCATGGCTTCCTTGGCGAAGCAAGACAATAAACGTGCCAGACAAACGGCAAATGAGATAATTGTTTGTGGGATATTCGAAATGGACATTCGACATCAATAACCTGCGACAGATGTGAACTCAACTTCTGTTAAAAGTGTTCAAACCTTAATAATATACTATCTACACAATGGTGAAATGAGTGAATTCATTTTTATTTATAAAATGTGCAAAGCTACTATTCCCGCTTAACATATCAACGGTTAACTTTTTTCTTATTTTTCTTATTTCATTTTTTCTTTATTGATGAAAGTTGGTTACATGTTCAAAAATATGTCTATGTTTCATCATGCATTAAAAAAATCACAGAACAAATATCATTGAAGGGTTTACTGGCATGTGTAGTAACATTTAAAGGCAACGAAAAACTGATATCACCGATACTTAGCGCTGCCCGAACAGAGTGATGGAAAATTAAACCAACTACTGGAACATAATTATGACCCGAAATTTCATCATAAGAAAGATACATTCTTATCTTGGGAAATTTCAACTTGAAGGAAAAATAGATTAGGAATCCTATATAACTAGTATAACGACAAATTAACTATTGACAACACGTATTCTGAAAAAGTAAGACACATTGTTTCCAGGTATCTAATCGTTCGTCGGTGTAATAGACACGGGTATTGTGAAACCTCTTTTAATATGGGCCTTGCTTTTGTCAACGAGAAAGTAATGGTTTGTTCTTGGTAAAATAATGTGACTTTTAACAATTCATCTACCAAAATTAACCTTTAGATGCAACTAAAAGGAAATGACGGAGACTATTTATGAACGTTTGCTGCAAAAGTATTTATGTTATATAATACAAAATAGTGCAAAGTGTTAAGTGACGAAGCTTTTCATTGGAAACGAAGTATTGGCGTAGAGGTGACACAGGCTATCAGCAACAAAAACCGGAAGCGGATCAATCATCTCCGCTGTAAAACCAAAAGCCGATTACTTTTATGAATACAAGAAAGCTAGGAACAAAGCCACCACAAAAATTACAAGAAAGCTAGGAACAAAGCCACCACAAAAATTAGAAGTTTTCTTTACAACTACGGGAAGGATCTGACCATAATTATAAAAACAACATGAAGCGCTTTTTTGAAATGCGTCCGACTAAAACGAAGTACAAGTGTGAATAAAACTCTACTTTTTTTTGTCACTGAGGATTGACTCATTTTCTCAGGAAAAACTTCATGGATGAACTCACAAAAATATATATCAGTGAGGAAACAATCACACTGGGAACCATTTGGAAATTGAATCCGAGCAAATATCCAGGAACTGACACATTTCATCCAAAGCTACAAGCTGAAACGAAAAATATGATGTCCTGAACACTTAAACTTGATTTTTGAAAAGTAAATCTGAGAAGGCAAACAACCTGATGAATAGAGTCTGTTTTGTATCTCGACTTTTTAAGTGTAGAAAACAATACAATGCGGTAAATTACCGTCCTGTCAGTTTAACGTCAGTCTGAGGAAAAGAACTCCAAGGAATAATCCAGGACGCCAACATAATAGACATGGAAAACAACAGTCTATTTAGTAAGGAACAATGTTGTGGATTCATAATAACTTGTGTTGCCACTTCCATTGGGTACTAGCTATGTATAGAACACTGGTCAGAAGCTGTGGACAATGACGCATATGTTGACTTCATGTCCTTAGGTTTTGGTGAAGCTTTTGATCGAGTAAAACATAAACATTAGCCTCGTCTGTCTTTTATTATGACAGACGAGGCTATAGTACCCGAGCAAAAACGTTATCCATAAGCTGAAAAATTACAGCAAAAAAACATCATTGGGTATATTATGTAGATCATATTCAACAAAAGGTTGTCATTAATAGGAATAGGTTGACCAGGGTCAATTTTTTTTTAAAATGGGTCACTCATGATAGTGTCATAGCTATAGGGTCTTGCACCATTCCATGTAGCGGAAATAGACTCTGTTTAGAGTTAGGAGGGTACCGGGTTCGAAACCCGGTCTGGCCGTACAATTTTCTGCTCCTGTTTACATAAATGACTTACCTTACATAACAAATACCATCACCAATGAATTGTTTGCAGATGACTTGAGGCTTTTCAACAGTGGTGGAGACCTAAAGCATACGATACACCTTCTAACAGATCCTGACAATGTATAGTTTTGGTCTGTAATCAGCAACATCCTTTTTGGATATAACGTTAGTTGAACAATCGTCTGGTTAATGAAATTGAATACGAAAACATGTTAACACATGTCTAGCGGTACCGACCTAATTCCCTCCCTCCTCACCCTATCACGGAGGGTGACATACTTTGTACCAAGAATATGTTAAAGCAAATAGAATTTTAAGGTATATATTCAGGTCGTATTTCCGTCTCCAAAATGTGACTTCCAAGTTTGGTTACAGTACTCCAAAAAAGGTCTGCTAGCAAAAATAGAAAACATTTAACGTCTAGCTACGAAATGTGTTATTACCCAGAGGAACCTTGATATATATAGCTAACTTATTCTAGCAGACTCAAGAAACTAAGCCTTCAACGTTGTAATATAGAAAAACTATGGAATTCCATGGTCGAAAGCTTCAAATATTGAAAAGGCTCGATAAATTGGACAAAGATCTACTACAAGCGGCAACCTATTACAGAACTGCGGACTAGGGGTAAAGTAGAAAACTCTTCAACAAACAAAACGAAAAGAAACTAGAGCTCTTAAGGTCACCCGATTTAGAAGTATTGAAATCTCTGCTTGATTTGGTTATATGGTGAGTCGGCAGGTACACACCTAAAACTATCAAAAAGGTTTATTTATAGGGGGGAGGGAGAGATGTAATGTGGTTGTACATTGCGAACTTATGGTTATATATAGAGTTGGCTGGTATCAGTTGTCATAACTTATTGTCTGGTCCCTGCTACACAAATCAGTTGTCATAACTTGTTGTCTGGTCCCTGCTACACGTATCAGTTGTCACAACTTGTTGTCTGGTCCCTGCTACACATATCAGTAGTCATAACTTGTTGTCTGGTCCCTGCTACGTGTATCAGTTGTCATAACTTGTTGTCTGGACCCTGCTACATGTATCAGTTGTCATAACTCGTTGTCTGGTCCCTGCTACATGTATCAGTGTTGTCATAACTTATTGTCTGGTCCCTGCTACACAAAACAGTTGTCATAACTTGTTGTCTGGTCCCTTCTACATGTATCAGTTGTCATAACTTGTTGCCTGGTCCCTGCTACATGTATCAGTTGTCATAGCTTGTTGTCTGGTCCCTGTTACACATATCAGTTGTCATAACTTGTTGTCGGGTCCCTGCTACATGTATCAGTTGTCATAGCTTGTTGTCTGGTCCCTGCTACACATATCAGTTGTCATAACTTGTTGTCTGGTCCCTGTTACATGTAACAGTAGTCATAACTTGTTGTCTGGTCCCTGTTACACATATCAGTTGTCATAACTTGTTGTCTGGTCCCTGCTACATGTATCAGTAGTCATAACTTTTTGTCTGGTCCCTGCTACACGTATCATTTGTCATAACTTGTTGTCTGGTCCCTGCTACATGCATCAGTTGTCATAACTTTTAGTCTGGTCCCTGCTACATGTATCAGTTGTCATAACTTGTTGTCTGGTCCCTGCTACATGTATCAGTTGTCATAACTTGTTGTCTGGTCCCTGCTACATGTATCAGTTGTCATAACTTGTTGTCTGGTCCCTGCTACACAAATCAGTAGTCATAACTTGTTGTCGGGTCCCTGCTACACATATCAGTTGTCATAACTTGTTGTCTGGTCCCTGCTACATGTATCAGTAGTCATAACTTGTTGTCTGGTCCCTGCTACATGTATCAGTTGTCATAACTTGTTGTCTGGTCCCTGCTACACATATCAGTAGTCATAACTTGTTGTCTGGTCCTGCTACACATATCAGTTGTCATAACTTGTTGTCTGGTCCCTGCTACATGTATCAGTTGTCTGATCCCTGTTATCAGTTGTCTGATCCCTGTTATCAGTTGTCTGATCCCTGTTATCAGTTGTCTGATTTCTGTGAAGTTAGGAACGAGAGACAATGATGGTACAACACAGTTAGAAAATAAAACGCTTTATTTAAGATAAAATGTGTTGCGCAATAAAATGATCTAATTAATCAAATATATTTTTTGTAATAGAATCTTAATTAATATAACAATCATAAGATCAAATTAATTGTCACTTACACTGTATCACAATAAAGGTCTTATGACCATATGTTCACATTTTTTTTTATATTTTCATAATATATTAGCAAAAGAACACAAGTGCAGGCCCAGTAGAACGACCCAGGTAAATGGATAAGGGATAGATTAATATGAGTTGGAATCCAATTAAGCGTTTTAGTGGTGGACCTACAATAATGCAATCCAAAAAAATGGGAAATAGGAGCAAATTCAAAAAAGTGTAATTATGGGCAGAAGATAGTGTAATTAGGGGTGGGACCCAGATAGTGTAATTAGGCGTGGGACGGAGATAGTGTAATTAGGGGTGGGACCCAGATAGTGTAATTAGGGGTGGGACCCAGATCAGTATAATTAGGGGTGGGACCCAGATCAGTATAATTTGGGGCGGGACAGAGATCAGTATAATTTGGGGCGGGACAGAGATCAGTATAATTAGGGGTGGGACCCAGATCAGTATAATTAGGGGTGGGACCCAGATCAGTATAATTAAGGGTGGGACCTAGATCATTATAATTAGGGGAGGAACCAAGATCAGTATAAAATGAGTCTATCATCATACATTAAAGACAGTCCTCATGTGAGCTAACATCCAGGACAACAAGAGTTAATGGCATACTTCTATCATAATTGTTGTAAAGTAAATTAAGTTTATATTTTATATTATGTGGTATATAATATAACCTTCCTGCCAAATTCACCAAAGTAATACTTCTATCCCAGTCCCTTTCTGGATCCACATGATATCTTCATGTTCTTAAAATTAAGAGTCTATTGTAGCAGAACTGTTTTCATGATGTCCAAGTTGTTCTTACATTTAACAATTGGTTCTGAAAATACATTTGATAATTATACCTTGTTAACTTCACAGATGATGTATCGCTACTCCCTATAAAAATTCAAATTGATACATTATCACAATACAAAGTAAATATAAATAATTTGTATTTATCAATATATTGTCATTGACTGATCACAATTATAAAACTAAACAGTCATCAATTGATTGATTGATTGATTGATTGATAGGTTTTACGTCCGCTTCACTACCGCGTATTTCGGTTATCCAGCAGACCACACACACAGTCATCAATGCCATCAAAACAACTAAATATTTGTCATAAATATGTTTAAATCACACATATACACTTATATTATCTGTTACTATCAAACCTGCTACAATTGAATTTATAACTATTAAGGTAAAGGGTACCACTACATAAGTTATTACCACAAAGAAGATCCATCACTCAGAATTTCTTTTTACTTGGAGTACTCTCCCTTTTTTATAGAAGGTGAAGCAGCCAAATGAGTTTGTCTGGCTTAGAGATTATATATACTTCTCCCGTAAATTGAACAATGCCTGTATAGCAATATGGTAAAGTGTAGCTTTGCAATGTCAAGTTCACAAGTTTTACCCCGGCGTTTTATTTTATTTTTATTTATTTTTTATTTCTATTTCCAACCATTCAAATGTCAAACAAGTACAATGCTGTAAATTGCATGGCAACATGTGATTTTTATGGAATATTTCTTTTGAAAAGGAATTAAATATTTCACAGCAGTGACAATGGTAATAGCATAGTTAAAATTGTAGGTACCCTTTACCTCAAACGGGTTAAAAATGAAATAGTAACTTTTGAATATATATCACTTTTGAATACGTTACTATTGACATTGCATCTTATCAAAAATTCTTATTCAAAAATCTATATTTCAATCATAAACACAAACAGCGTGCTTATTTGTTTTTAAATCAAATTTAAATAACAAACACATGTAGCTAATTGGTAAGTTATGTCAACAAATGCATATATGCATGTGCATCTTTGTAAAACAAATCATGAAATTATATAAAACTGAATTTTGAAGACAGAAAAGGCATTGAAAACAAAGCAAAGCATTGCAAGGCAATCCATAGTCCCCCACTAGTTATGATATCTTTATTTACAGAGCTGTAAACACACCAATTTAAGGATATAAGCCCAGGCGACAAAATGTCACATACTCCAAACTCTGCCAGCCAAGATATAATACATACATAATCTGATTAATGCAGGTGAAATAGTAGAGAAGAAATGGCCTGGACAAATTTTTTCAAAGGATAATGTCAATTAAAGTTCAAAGCGTTGTACTTGAAACTTTGCCATCCCAAGATGTACTTGCATACCAAACCAGGTTACTCCAGGTGAAATAATACGAAGATACGTGTATATGCCCCATACAAACTTTTCAAAGGTTAGGTCAAAGGTCAGACCATAGGTCACAGTGACCTACTTTTGTACTTGACACTTTGCCACCCCAAGGTGGTTACTGCAGGTGAAAAAGTATAGAAGATATATCAGGGACAAACTCTTTTAACCGACAGAATTTGGACGGATAGAAGGATGACTGATGAGAACAGATTGGTGGGCGGTGTACAAACCCCCCAGAACACTAATATTGGATGATTTAGGTAAGCATTGCAAATAAAATTGTTTTCTTATATACATTTATCGTCAATATACAGTAACTTTTCTGGTTTTCTTCTTGTGTAAACTTACAGAAAATACACGACAATTTAAACTTGAAATCTACAGTACATATTGATTAAGAATCAAAAAGCATCATGAATCCTAATGAAATCAATTCCCTTGAAGACGAAACCCTACAAAACATTTACACACATCCTCGACCCGGTACAATTTTTGTTTAGGGCTTAAATCTCTCCAATATTGAAAAATATTTGATTTTCTTTTGAACAGGATAATTCATATAAAACACTTGCAACAGATTAGTGCATAATGAAAAACAAATTATGACATGCTTTTATTGGTCAATGTAAGTGACCTCTATGCAAATTTGTGACTTGGCAAAATATCCTGTCATACCTGGTCCAAGGTAGGCACTTATACATGTACATTGTAAATATATAGTAACCCAGGAGTCATGTTCAAGTTATGAAAATACTAAATAAGTGTTCACAATCATTACAATAACTTTCATTATTTCTCCTATAGGGAGCTATTCATTATTAGCTTTCTGATCGGAGAAGTTAAATATTTGCGTGTTTTGAACAGTAGAAAAGACATTTCTTTAAAAAAATTGTAATGGGGTAAATTTAATCCAACACCCAATTCATGAAATTTAACTATGATTATATATCTTATTCTAATGTATCAAATAAATCTACTCAAGTGAAACTTACAGATTGTACTTGTGATGACAAATAAAACACCCTACATGGATATACATCATAATTAATTTTAAGATATTTTCTGTATCTTTAGGTTAATGTGTACAGTATATCACTCAGCAAATTATCTGTTCGATGGTTTGTTTTTGATGACTTATAATAAGATATGTTCCATAAACTTTTCGTCCATACATGGCCATGAAAGACAGGAATTGACCCATGAAAAGATCGACCCGTCTTTCCCGAGGGAGAGACAACCTACACGCACTATGACGTCACTCTGACAGTAATTAACTGATGAATGTAAGTATTGCTGCCAGGCAAGTCCGCTAAATGACGTCGGCTTTTGAAATAGTTCCGTTGTTTTGACTGTTAAATTTTCATTAATTTCGTACTTATCATAAGATTTATTAACCGATATATTACAGTTGTTGGATTATTAAATGCAAACATTGTTAGCTTTGTGCTTTAAATGGATTTCTGGTTTCATGTTCAGGGTTCATCGAATCACGCCTATCCCTATAGAATTAACATAATTGTATTCATTGTCGTCATGGAACACAAACATATGAAGGTTGCAGAGTATTGACACTGACGCGTTTATTTTGAGTATGGGAGAACAAGAATCAAACATAGGTATATATGATTCCTGCACAATTACAAGCCTCGTTGGTCAATACACTTATATTATAGAGGTGTATTGACCGGCACGGCTAGTTTATGTGGTCTATGGACAGGAAAGCTTGACCCATCAGGTTTAGATTTCCCCGTCCACGGACTACACCCATGTCAGATTCTATTAATCCATGTCTGTCAAATCAACGCATCAACTCTTTTAACTGCCTGTCATGTTCTGCCTTGGTGATCAATTCTCCCTGCAGCATCAGTTTGATCCGGACTTTAGTCAGGACCTTTCCTAGTTTGTTTTCTCCAAGCCAGTAGGCTCTGTTCCAGGCTCGTGGATCATCTGAATAAAGACCTATCCCCCAGATCTTGTCCATCGGACTTGCCTCCACAAGGATTTTGGGATTACTTGCACAAATGATATTCAGCAAGTCGCTGTTCTGAGAAAACTGCAATAACAAGTGGGAATAAATACAGCATACATGTAATTGTTGAATATATCATATAACTGTGCATATATATATAGATAATTGATTAAATCATACCATATACATGTCATACATGTATGTATATAAATGTAATCATAAATTTAAATCTATATACATACATAAATACATGTCATCATAAAATATATGAAATTCAATAATTGAACAATCCAAAATCTAACTTAAACTATCATCATAATTTCAGGACTTTATGATAACCCCCTCAAAATTGCATAACTTGAGTAGCCCTGATCAATTATTCCTGAAATCCCAAGGGGAAAAAAAAAGGTAACAAATATTTTATAAAAATCTATGCATTTTGAGATCAAGCTGAAAGGGAGGTAATTCTGACTTTCTTATGCATAAAGATTTTTTTTTCAGAAAGGGAAAATCCACTCACTGATTTATTTCTATTTGCAATTCGGGCAGGAATAATACACTTCATAAATAACTTGTCAATAAAGGTATGTTTTTATCTGAAGGTGTCCTATAACTCTTCAATGTTTCCATTTCTGTTATTATATTTGCTGTGTTCAAGTGTTTATAGGTGAGTTACGTATACATCGCTATAAGGTATTCAGTATAGCGGTATATGATCTTACAAATGTGTTCTCCTGTACTGCCAGGTAAAACGACATAATACGCATACTGATGTGTTCCCAGTGAATTCTTGTGTAAACAAAAGGCTATAGATGATCGAACAGTCATTAAACCACACAACTATTGTAAGGGAATGGACTGATGGAGCAATAAATTACCATCGGATAAAGGTGGTTATCAAACTTGTTCGAGCTTTCATTGTAATTAACATTCTGATGAAGTTTGAAGCTAATTTGTTGAAAACACTGGCGATAATATACAGCGGACACTGTTTAGTCAATTTATAAAAAGCCATAGCTCCATGAGTTATGGTCAGATAATGGTGGTTATCGAATTTGACCAAGATTTTATGGTAACATACCTGTCTGTGAAGTTTGAAGTTAATCCGTCAAAAATACTCGTGGCATAAAGTGGACACTGTTTCAGCAATTAAAGAAAGGGCCATAACTCTGCAAAGTATTGTCAAACTCTGATGGTTATCTGATCTGTCAAAGTTTTTATGGTAATTAACCACCCTATGATATTTGAAGCTAAGATAACAAGCGGACAATGTGTGTGCCTAACTGCCCGACTGTCCACAATATACCTCAGTAGCCAGGGAGAAGATTTTTCAACTGTCCAAAATATCCCTCACTAGCCCGGACAGGAGATTGAATTGTCAACTGTTCAAAATATCCCCCACTAGTCCAGACAGGAGATTGAATTGTCAACTGTTCAAAATATCCCTCACTAGCCAGGGAAAAGATTTGTCAACTGTTCAAAATATCCCTCACTAGCCAGGGAAAAGATTTGTCACTGTCCAAAATATCCATCACTGGCCAGGGAGAAGATTTGTCAACTGTCAAAAATATCCCTCACTAGCTAGTAAGAGGATTTGTCAACTGCCCCTAATTAAACACACTATAGCCATTAACAGGATTTGTCAACTGTACACAATATCCCTCACTAGTCACTAACAAGATTTGTCAACTGTCCACAATATCCCTCACTAGCCACTAACAGGATTTGTCAACTGTCCACAACATCCCTCACTAGCCACCAACAGGATGTGTCAACTGTCCACAATATCCCACACTAGCTACTAACAGGGATTTGTCAACTGTCCACAATATCCCACACTAGCCCGGAAGAGGGTTTGTCAACTGTCCACAATATCCCACACCAGCCACGGACAGGATTTGTCAACTGTCCACACTACCCCACACCAGCCACTGACAGGATTTGTCAACTGTCCACAATACCCCCCCCCAGCCACTGACAGGATTTGTCAACTGTTCACACTATCCCACACCAGCCACTGACAGGATTTGTCAACTGTCCACACTATCCCACACTAGCCACTGACAGGATTTGTCAACTGTCCACAATACCCCACACTAGCCATTACCAGGATTTGTCAACTGTCCACAATATCCCTCACTAGCCCATTACAGGATTTGTCGACTGTCCACAATATCCCACACTAGCTACTAACAGGGATTTGTCAACTGTCCACAATATCCCTCACTAGCCATTAACAGGATTTGTCAACTGTCCACAACATCCCTCACTAGCCACCAACAGGATGTGTCAACTGTCCACAATATCCCACACTAGCCCGGAAGAGGGTTTGTCAACTGTCCACAATATCCCACACCAGCCACGGACAGGATTTGTCAACTGTCCACACTATCCCTCATTAGCCATTAACAGGATTTGTCAACTGTACACAATATCCCTCACTAGTCCCTAACAAGATTTGTCAACTGTCCACAATCCCCCTCCCTAGCCTCTAACAGGATTTGTCAACTGTCCACAAAATCCCTCACTAGCCACCAACAGGATTTGTCAACTGTCCACAATACCCCCCACTAGCCACTAACAGGATTTGTCAACTGTCCACACTATCCTTCACAAGCCACTAACAGGATTTGTCAACTGTCCACAACATCCCTCACTAGTTGCGGAGAAAATCCCTACCACCAACCTTAGCCATGTTGCCTTCCTCCACAATGGCTTCACAGCCCTCTTGCCATATCTCCTCTACAAAATTCTCCACCTGACGACCAAGCTTCTTCTGTTTCCTGGGATCCTTTGTCTCCATAATTTTCCTGGCAGTCTTGAAGTCCTCAAATAACGCTGCAAATAAATAAATAAATTATCAAGAATTCCTTAACACAGATATTTATCCTACAGTATATTCTTTTATATCTTACCTATTATGTTCTATTCTACGTAAGCAAATACCTCTCCAATTACCATAATTATAAGCCTCTCACCCTGAATTTCCTCAACCTTAGGATTGAAAATATAAATCAGCAATACATTATTGTTTAAATTCAGAAGTAGTAAAAGCTGCATATAATACCTTGTAGACTATTCAGTATTCATGGATTTGCATGTATGCTACCTTGTGCATAATGTACATATTAACTCATTCACCCCTGAAATTTCATTATGAACTATTCCTATTTTTGAATTTGAAGAGTTCAAATGTGTCTTCAGGGGTGAATGAGTTAATAATTTAAACAATATTTAAGATGAATTATGTTTTATTCTCCCTAATCTTCCATGTATAAGACCATGATGTGACCTGATTTTTATTTAACTGACTTACTTGCTTTCCTGTGCATCATGAACTGTTCTGCACACATGTAGGTTTTGCCATCCACTGTAAATTCTTTTTTATGCCACTGACTGTACACAGAATAACTCTGCCAGAAGTACTCAAACTTTGATTCGTCATCATCTTTGAACTTCTCTATAATTTCAGGATCAACTTCATAGACCTCCTCCCCACATGCCATCCCCTCTTCAAATCTACGCTCTCGAGGTCTGGCCCCTCCTTCAAAATTATGTCTTTTCTTTTCAGTGTGATGTGAAGGCCCACTCTTCTCTGTAGAAACCACTCTACACTCCTTGACCGTATTTCCTTCCTGGGCATTCTGATTTTGTTGGGAATTCCTTTGAGCATTTTCCTGATCTTCCCTGAAGCTCTGAGACCTGGTTTGGTTATGGAAGTTTTGTTTAGCAGGATTTTCTTGGGTTTGAGTGAGCTCTCCTCTGGAGCCTTTGGACCCGTTGCCGTGGTTTTTAGTATTACCTTGACCATGTGTATCATATCCTTTAGGGTCTTGGGATGGATTTCCTGCCTGGGGCGGTTCTCTGCCCTTCCAATCTATCTTAGATGTAGATTTACTGAGAGAATTATGTTGTTGAGTTTTGTCCTGAGCCTGAGGAGGCAAATTTCTGTCTTGTTGAATGGCCACATTGACAGATACAGAACTACCTTGCAAGTCAGCATTGTTATTTTCCACTGCATTATCGTGTTGGCTGGTAACATTTTGTTGACCAGCAGCAGCTTGTAAAGGGTGTGGATTGGGGCCTACATCTGTTTGTGTATCATGACCACTTGGTCCATAGTCAAAATCGTTCCTTCCTTGTCTTTTTTCACAGTCCTGTACTGGACCAGACTTCACCAGTGTGTCACCAATATTTTGTAAACCTGCAACTCTCTGTTCAGCACGATCTTGGATGTTATTTTGTTTCATCATGTTATGATTATCAAGTACTCTTTCTCCTGGTACTAGGTTTAAACCACTCCTCCTGTCACCCGTCTGGCCAGCATATCCACCATGCCCTATACCTGGTTCAGATGTATGATGTGAAGAAGCTGAGGCCTGATTAGTTGCTGGCCTATTTACTGCTACAGGTGTGGCATTGATGGGACCATGACTGTTGCTTGATAAAGGTGGGAAATCCTCTTCTGTAGGTGTTAATTTAGGATATATCCCAGTATGCCCTGTTCCTGGCACACTCCCATCCTTACTCTGCATTTTACTGTTTTTACTAATGCCCTTGGATACCGCATTTGAGTAACTCATGTTCAACCTGATTTTCGATATCTATCAGAAGTATAAAACACCTTTTTTTAACTTCTCTACATTATGTTGGATTCAACTGTCTCCCTGAAACCAAAAATTATGGTAAATTAATATTTCAACTTCAGGGAAAGGATACTATCAAGTTAACCCTTTCACCCCCTGTAGACCATCATGGACTAATCCATATGAATGTATGGTAGAGTCTACTCAAGTTACCTAGGGGTGAAAGGGTTAAACTGAATTATTGTGAAATAGGTTTAAATCTTTTGAAAGAAAGTATACCAAAACAATCCTTTAATTGTTACAATGCATTAAAAACAGTATGGTTGCTCGAAATTTTTATGTGTACATGCAGCAGTTTTCGTATAGTGGCAGGTGGGTTTTTTTCAAGATTCAAATCCCGGTCTGGCTGTACAATTTTCTGCTCATTATTTATAGCAAAATTTTGTGAACAGAATATAAAAAGAAAACAGCATATGAAAACTATTTTCCTTGTTGGGGTTGATGAATGGATAGGTTTAAACTCACTAGATATGCTTGAGTATCTGTGGTCTCCAGCAGTACTGAGGTTGGATAGCTATATAGTGTTGCATAATAGATAGATGTACTAATACCGTGCAGATCAAAAGCTACAGAGCTGTAGTTTGGCTGGTTGCAGATCAAGCAGTGCCAGCTAACCATATCATGCTGTCATTTAGTTCTTCATAGCTTGCAGTATGATTATTCTGGCATTCAGTATGAAACCATTGGTCACAGGTTTCACAAACAATCCCTCTGTGGTCCCAGGTAACTGTTTTATTACATGTACCACACAGGAGAACTTGCTACCATCATGACATATGGCCCTGGATTGGTTTCAATGCTGTTTGACACACTAATTATCAACAGTATAAGAGAGTACCAAGCTTGAGTATGCCTCAACTGTCTGAGATCCCCATCTTCAACAACAGAAGGACCAACTGGACAGAGTCCCGCGACAAGCTGCCAGATTCGCCACAGGGGACTACTTCAACAGGGAACCAGGATGTGTCACAAACATGCTGCGTCAACTAGCTTGGGAGCCACTAGAGCAACGAAGAGCCAGAAACAGGATGCTCATGTTCTACAAAATTATCAACAATCTGGTTGAGGTACCAATATATCAGGTCATTACCGTAACATCAGGAAGAACCAGAGGAGCTACTGCTAACAACATACGGCAAATTCCAACAAAGCTCGACACATACCGATACTCGTTTGTACCACGTACCATCATCACATGGAATGCAATCCCACCCGACATACGATCGTCTCCCACCCTGGACAGCTTCAGGCACGCCCTCGTACAGTACGAGGCAGTCGGCCACCAATACGCTATGTAGACCCCACTGTTTTTACCTCTTTTAAACTGTACATTCAGAAGTTTTAGCTGCGGTCGGCATAAGTCGCGCTGGAGAACTCAACACTCTAGATAGAGTATTCTCCATTAAAGGAAGAAGAAGAAAAAAGTCTTTCCTGGCTTCATTGTCTGATAAGAACTTTTAGACTTTTAAGGAATAAGCGGTACAAATTTTGAAACCCCATGAGGTGTTTTATGGGATTGGATGCGATAAAGACATGTACTTTACTAAACGGATGGTCATGTTCATGCAGTGCTAGGTACTGAGGATAGTGATGTTTCAACATAATTATAATTAGTTATGATGATGATTTTCGACACACATCATAACTAATTACCGGTATAATTATGTTGAAACATTACATCCTCATGGTAGACAACACTCTGGAGCCGTACAGAGTGACTGAAGCTACTTTGATAAGCAATATCAATATCATTGCGGCAACTGCACTCATATCTATGAGATCTGCTGCAGTAAATGGAAGAAGAAGAAGAAGAAGAAGAAGAAGAAATATCGCTTTTACAGTTTCCTGACACTGGTCACATACAATGTACATTAGCATAGCAATATTTACTGTGCGAATATGACGGTCCATGTTTCTCAAGTATGGGTACAACAGTATCTGTCAATTCTAGACAGGTGCTGACTAATCACGGATAATGGTTTAAAGACAAATGCAGAGTTATAGTATTCGTCCCCAGTGCGACCCTGGGACACATATGACAAACAAATGAGCAAATGTTAGTAAATGAGAGAGAGTAGGTTGTTTACATTGGGAACGGGTTTTCAAACCGGAAGTCACACATCGACATGTGAGGAACATGTGCTGGCGGTTGACTCGCTCAGTTTGTTCCCTGGTTATGGTAAATATTCCAAATTAAGAGTTAATATCGAAATAAATGCCACAGACACATTCAATAAGACACCAAAAGACCGAGGTCAAAGCAAATAACGAAGGCGTTCTCTGTTTTCTGGTCTTCTACTTTCGTTTTGACTGATTGAAACACCGAAATCTACCGCTGTCTGACCTCTAAACAAAACTATAACGTGTCCTAAACATGTCCGAGTTAGTGTTGAACATTGCTAATTAATTCAAAAATATTTATACTCAACATGTTAACAGCTATCTTAGTGTGCATAGACCTACTCACCCCAAAATCAAATACCAGGAATCAGAAGTTGCACAATTCAACGCAACGACAAGACTTCCGCTGCCAGGGATACGTTTGTAATTTGCTTTGGTTGGACGTAATTAGATCCGGATATATTTTTTGACCATAATTTGACATATTGTTTCCTGTATCAAATTAGGAATTACATTGTAAACTAATGTATCAATACAGTGATGATTTAAATATCGACAAAAACTTATAGTATATAAACTTATATGATATATATTTATTTAATCCGTACATTTATCTCCGTCATTTGCTTCATGTTTTAGTTTGATTTTGTGTGTGACTCGGAGGAAACAGGAGCTAGCATGATACTTATAATTGTAATATAAATATAGACGTCCAATAGAACATGCTTAAACTAAATGGTTATTAGACGAGTGCTGACCTGTATTGTTTTTAACGTGACACATCAAAGAAAAATAACCATGGCGTCAAGAAAAAGAGGTATGTTAAACAAAGAACACCCGCTTCCTGTTAAACGGTGCGTGTAATATTCTACTTTCGATTTGTGAAATGGTCTGTAGTGTCTACATGATCATCATGTAGCTCGTTAGTTTTGGCCTGTTTCTGAGCATTGATTCTGAAACATAAATTTTATAAATCTTGTTCGTCATAACATCATTTTTAGGAACACTTAACAAAACATACAAAATGTATTAATAGCAAAATTTTAGATGAATTTGATGGAGCATGTGTGTGCTATTTAAAAAATATATAAATACGTGTCAAAACTGCCACATCACATGTCTCATAGTTTTGAGTAACTTAGTCATCCCTTGGTATTTACAGCAGACTGTGCATTATTAATTCATTGATTTCGAAAAGTCTAAGTGTGACTCTAGGGGTATGGGTTAATCATCACTGGTTGACTATATGTTTAACCATCACCTTTGGGTGTTGATGGTTGGCCTGATAATTGATAAAAGGGGCAGTTATATTAGAGAAACATATCTTCAAGTATCTTGTGGAATATCAATTTTATTTCTTAATTTCATGTGGTATGTTTATGTTAAGATATATATCTTCAACAAGAAGTTGTTATAGAGAGCAACTATCTGGGACTCATAACACTGTCACACTCAGGACGTGTCCTGGGGCCCACATATAAACAGCACTACATCTAAGGCGCATAGAACTCTAAGATTCTTGCGCCGTAACATGTCTCGATGCACCAGGTGGGTCAAAGCTCTCTCTTACTCTGCCCTCGTCAGACCTCAACTGGAGTACTCGTGCTCTGCCTGGGATCCATACCGTGCAGAACACATCGACCAGCTTGAGGCTGTCCAGAGAACGGCGGTCAGATAGGTCCACAATGACTTCCACTCCAGAACACCAGGATGTGTGTCGTACATGGTCAACACCCTTCAGTGGGACTCCCTGCAGAACCATTGGAGGAAGGCCAGACTGGTCAACTTCTTTAAGATCACTCATGATCTTATAGCTATTCCAGCCGACCGATTTCTCATCATGGCCAACTCAAGGACACAAGGGGGCCACCGTTATTGCCCTAAACAGGCTTCCAAGGACTTTTTCAAGTTATCAGATATACATGCCAAGGACGATAATGGACTGGAACAACAACCTTCCCTCCTCACTGGCTATGGTAGACAGCCTTGAATCATTCAAGGCTGGTCTGTACTCCTCAGTACTCCTCACATTTACACTCCCCCTCTCATCATGGCATGACTCTCCACATACAGTACAGCCTACCCCAGGCTGGCCAATGTATGTATGAACACCAGCTGTTGCCCCTGAATTGCCCAGTGGACGAAGTTTAACATGTCTTTGTATGAAAATTGTGTGACTGTGATGCACTGCACTGTTTTACAAGTTCCATACTTACCAACTTTTTTAAATTTCGGAGGGGGAGATTCTACATGCTCAAAATTTAAACCCAAATAAAATGTGTGTATATACCCCTTAGAGACAAAATAATCCTTTAAATGACATATTTTGAGTTCTTTCATCAGATGAAATGATTAATTCTTAGAATATATATAGGAATGCTTTAGCAAATTCACTGGTTGAAAATGCTTAATTTAAGTGTCCAAAATCGGGAGTCTCCCTCCCAAATAGGGAGAGTTGGCAAGTTTGTACAACTAATTCCCACAGTCATGCTGTGAGACATGACACTACACACACACACACCTCCCCCATCCTCACCTATCTACCCTTTATATAAACATTTTGATTATAAGTAACAGTACCAAAACTAAAATTATCTTTATAGCACAGTGTCCAGAGACAGTAATCACTCCATCCTTTGAGATTTGTCTCTATCTGAAAGAAGAAGAAGATGTATAACTGAAATTGATCAATCATCTATCAGTAAAAAAACATGCGGGTTTTCCTATAAACATCTATAAGGTACAACGTAGCTACGAGGATTTTATTTGATTGACAGGCGACTTGTTCTTAATCATTTCAAACAAACCTATATATATCATTATTTTTTCTTAAAGCTGCCGAAAAGAAATCCAACAATGACCAAAAGCCATCTTCTACGAAGCAGTTGAAACTGGATACATTTGTAAAGGGGAGCTCGTCTACATTGAAGTTACCTGCAGGAACAAAGAAGGAGGACTTTGAGTTTTTCTGGAGGGAGGAGTCGCCATTTAGCCAGTTCCATCCTGCTGTGTTTACTGTTGATGGTACCAAGTATAACTGTGCTGAACAGTACATGATGCATCAGAAAGCGAGTAAGTATCTGATTGACAGGGAATTTGAAAAGGCTGTAAGAAAGTTTACACAATCTGTCAGTCTGCATCTGCAGTACATGTGTGGCATATGATGACTGTCCCCTTAAGCGTCTAGCTTCGCATTAGAGGGAATTTTCCTTTGGCTCAGTGGTAGTGCGTCTGACTAGGAACCAAGGGACTGCAGGTTTGATACCCTGGTGGAAGCACACTATTCTCTACCCTGTTACAAATGTAACACATTTTGCAAAGTGTCCATTAGATTCTTTATGAGCAATAATTAGAGCTTCTGGTCAGCAGAAGATTATAAATAGAAAGATATTTCATATTTATTATGGAAATACATAAATACTTATTTTGTTGTTTTCAAATATCTCAGTACACAGATAAACCTCTCATCTGTCAGTACTAAGAAAATCCTCTCATCTGTCAGTACACAGATANTAGATAATCCTCTCATCTGTCAGTACACAGATAATCCTCATATCTCTCAGTACACAGATAATCCTCATATCTCTCAGTACACATATAAACATCATATCTCCCAGTACACAGATTATCCTCATATCTCTCAGGACACAGATTCTCCTCATAGCTCTCAGTACACAGATTCTCCTCATATCTCTCAGGACACAGATTCTCCTCATAGCTCTCAGTACACAGATTCTCCTCATAGGTCTCAGTACACAGATAATCGTCATATCTCTCAGTACACAGATAATCCTCATAGCTCTCAGTTCACAGATAATCCTCATAGCTCTCAGTTCACAGATAATCCTCATAGCTCTCAGGACACAGATAATCCTCATAACTCTCAGTACACATATAATCATCATAGTTCTTAGTACACAGATAATCCTCATAGCTTTCAGTACACATATTCTCCTCATAACTCTCAGTACGCAGATAATCCTCATAGCTCTCAGTTCACAGATAATCCTCATAGCTCTCAGTACACATATAATCATCATATCTCCCAGTACACAGATTATCCTCATATCTCTTAGTACACAGATTCTTCTCATAGGTCTCAGTACACAGATAATCCTCATATCTCTCAGTACACAGCTAATCCTCATATCTCTCAGTACACAGCTAATCCTCACATCTCTCAGTACACAGATAATCCTCATAGCTCTCAGTTCACAGATAATCATCATATCTCCCAGTACACAGATAATCCTCATAACTCTCAGTACACAGATAATCCTCATATCCCTCAGTACACAGATAATCCTCATATCTCAGTTCACCGATCATCCTCACATCTCAGTTCACAGATAATCTTCATATCTCTCAGTACACTATTGTAATCCTGATATCTCTCAGTAAGCAGATAATCCTGATATCTCCCAGTACAAAGATAATCCTCATATCTCTCAGTATAAATATAATCCTGATATCTCTCAGTACACAGATAATCATGATATCTCCCAGTACACAGATAATCCTCATATCTCCCAGTACACAGATTATCCTCATATCTCCCAGTACACAGATAATCCTCATAGCTCTCAGTACACAGATAATCCTCATATCTCTCCATACACAGTTATAATCATGATATATCTCAGTGCACAGATAATCCTCATATCTCTCCGTACAAAAATGTACACAGTTATAATCATGATATCTCTCAGTACACAGATAATCCTCATATCTCTCAGGACACAGATAATCCTCATAGCTCTAAAAGATAGAGATAGCTGTTTATATATTTTTCTCTTTATTTATTTTTTTACAAATACTGGCTATAAGTTTAAGTCACCTAACGGCTGCTTTGGTTAAATAACCTAAGGAAATAGGCAGCATATACCACATTCAAGGTGAAGGTCACAATGTTATAATCTGATATGCTTAGAAACTGATGTTAGAAAAGATGACATACATAATCATAGAAAAAGAAAAAAGAATCCAAGACACTTTTGTGAGTTAGAGTCCTTAAATGTTAAAATTTATATCTGTTATTTTTAAAAATGACTTGTTAAAAATAATGAAATCTAAATGGACTACCCAACTCACACATATATTTTTTTTTTAGTAACATTCAAAGATGATGAAAATGCTAAGGCTATAATGAAAGCAGCGAAACCTTTTACACAAAAGAAATTGGGTCGTAAAGTCAAGAACTTTGCCCCGGATGTTTGGAGTGCCAAGTGTGTGGATGTGGTTAAAAAGGGAAATATAGCAAAGGTAAATATTCAATTTCTTTCATTATACATAATTACATTGAATAAATATTTTTCATACTAAGCCTTGTTACCTTGATTACTCTGTATGTAAATGGTTGTCTTGGTAACTTTGTATTAAAAAATATATTTTCCTTAGTAACTGAGCATTTGAAGGTTTTCTTGGTTACTATGGTTTTTACATGGTTTCCGTGGTTACTGTTGAACCTCATAGAAAAGCAGATACATTGTACTTGAAATGTACAAATCTTTGTGACTCGGTTATTTTTCAACAGATTTTTTGTTCTGCGCATGACTATATATCAACCTCATGTATCTAAATTTAAAAATCTGGATATTTCATTCCGAAAAACCACCCCTTAAATCTCATTTTTTGGATATCTAATACCTCTCATTATCTAAAAACATAGTATATGTAATAATAAAATAAAGGAATTTCGTCAAGGTCAGTACGTTGTTATAAAGACCCGATAGAGTAATATCAGTCTATCAGGTCCATATAACAATGTATCGACCTCAACGAAAGTCCATAATATAACAATATGCAATAGCTAAATATTTTGATCATACATCAGCTGTAATATGACTTTGATAAATTTTACAACTTTTCATGTTCAGAATTTGTTGCATGACATGTGGAAAGTTTCTATTTTTTTATACATTTTTTTTTTAAGTTTTCCCAAAACAGCCATCTACGAAAGAAGCTGTTGGACACGTATCCTAAGATAATGGTTGAGGCCAGTCCCAGGGATCGTATCTGGGGAATTGGACTGGCGTCAACCAATAAGCTTGCTTGGAACAAAAGCACATGGAGGGGTAAAAACCTCTTGGGTTATGCACTGACGGACGTTCGCAAAACCCTGATGAGCGACCAGCTTTCAGACAAATCCAGTGCTGATGACGAAAGCAACAGTGACACAATTGAAGACGATACAATTACAGCCAACAAATGAAGTCACTGCATACAAAGGTGTATGTTAAATCGCTTTTTAAGTATACAAGATTAAATCTTGTAATGACTCCTGTACAAAATAGATTTAATCTAGACAAAAATATACAGACAAAAATTCTTGACCTCAATTTGACCTGAAAAAATTCTAACCTACAATTGACATGACTTTGACATGAAAAAACACCATGATCAAAACTTGACCTGAAATATACCAGAAATTGACATCAAGAATTTTTCATGTCAAAATTGGATCAATTTCAGGTCAAATTGGCGTCAATTTGAAATTGATTTTTTTTTTGCTCCTTGCAGGTCAAATTGACATCAAGAAATTTTGCCTGTGTATTGTCACAATCTGTTTCAATATTTTCAAATTGAATCCTGTACAGATTTTTATCTCTCCTTTTCATTTTACCAAGTTCCAGTCATACTTTTATAACCTTGTTGGAAAAGGTAAACATTTCAGTTGGATTTAGAAAACAAGGCAGAAATGATTCTAGCTCTTCTAGATGGAAATCTTCTAACATTCTACGGTCAGATTCGAGGACATCTTACATGGTCAGCAATACATAAGCCATCCCTCCTTTGACCTCATCAAGCTGTGACCCAGTGCACAGTTATGACCAATTAGCAGTAAAAATTGGTGTCTGTTTTGATTCTTATTAAATTGTAAAGAATGTCTTTTATCAGAATTTGTTTAGAATTTCACCTTTTGCTGTCAGAATAACACTGAAAACATTGGACAAGTGCATCTAGTTTGAAAAAAGTTTGAGTCTGAACGTGATATGGATACGGTATTAATGACATGTACAATTTGTATCATGTTGAAGTTATCACTCCTGTAAACAAGGATGTGGTATTCAAGGGACGATGAATCAAAAGAAAAGTCATAAATATGTGTGTTCACAGTATAATTTAATCGTTAAAGTCTAATTAGTATCCGATACCACTCACCTGTCAAATGTAAATTACCTGTATTATATGTGCTTTTTATAAATGGCCCTAATTTGCGTAAACATCAACCTAATATACAATTTAACAATTATTTTTCCTAATCTGAGCCATTTATATTGGATGACATATAGATATAAAGATCTTTGCATAAAACTTAATGTGAATGGAGTAATTTGATCTTGTGTAAACAGACATTAGTTTTCTGTACGAGACAGTACATGTATTGTCATACATTTATATTTATTATCATATGATATTGCCACTGTATAGCCCTACATAATTCAGTTGGCATTCATATAGGCTATGAATGCCATGGACCGATTATTGACGTCATCATCATTATTATGACGTCATAATTGTTATGTTGGATACCACTAACCCTCCCAGGGCGATGGCTGTTCTATTCATTAAACACACACACAATACATACATTATTTGAAGTAAATGCTGAATAATAATAATAATAATTGTTACTGAATTTTCTATGAGATCAACTGATTCCATAATTGGTCAATGGAAGTATTGAACTACTTTAAGTTGGTATTCCTAGGCAATAAGAATGTAGCTCACTTCATTGAATTTGCCTTTGTCCGGTCGGCATTCATATTGTGTATGAATGCCAACTGAAAGCAGTTCTATGCTTAAGTATAACCACATACACTGCAGGTCTACACACAACATAAAATACTGGTAGTACGTGTATTGTCATGAATACATCTGTATCACCGGGACCTGAGAATTTGTTACCACTATATTTGGACCTAAGCTAAGGTGTTCAGAATAATTTAAATTTATACATTCTATGGGTTTATATCAACTTTTGGTAAAGTATCAGCATTTAAGGTGGCATTTTTACCGAAAGTTGATCCAAATCCCTAAAACGTGTAAAATTACTCTGAACACCTTTGACCTTAGTTAAGGTCCAAATATAGCTGTTACAAATTCTCAGGTCCCTGTGATCTGTACATGTATAACCATATGCACAAAAATAAACACGTCAGGTCTGCATACAACATAAAATACTGACAATGCCAGCTTTGTTCTCAGTAGTAACAATAACATAACAATAATGTTTACAGACAACAAATAGATATGCTTGTAAAGATAGTCTTCTCTTCCTTGACTGGGATAGATTTGAGAAATGTCAAGGAAATGCTGTTGATGTTTAGATGGGTTATTATGGGATGTTTTGTTTACTATACTGTTTAGTGTTACGTTGTGTTTGTGTTGAATCTCTGGCTCCATGTGTTCACTGTTAATGGGTGTGATTTTAAATGTGAAATTTTCAAACGTGATTTTTATATTTCAAGCTGACCATACTTACAACTTAATCTAAATATTGTTCTTTCTATTGCTTTTTAACTTGATGTAAATAGATGAGAAGACCTATGCTTCAGCTTGCATATTTTTAGCAAATAAAATGTCTCCATGGACCTTGTCATCTGTCATTTTTTCAAGACCTACATTTGTAACATTGGAAACATCTTCAATATCAGACGGATATAACAGGAAACCAGACACACACACAAGAATGTTGTTATTATATAGGTGTGTATACATAAACATCAGATACATGAAGTTTGTGTCTAAATATGTAACTTTGATCGGGAAGATTTAAATAGGGAACATGTAATATTATTGGGGTGAATTAACATGGGAAATGTGAGGAGATTCAAATCCAGTGCAAAAGTAACAGCAGCTATGTTTGGAGATAATATCACACGTTTTGGAGGTTAGAATAACTCTGCAGAAGGCAGATTCCATTCAAAGTAAACCCTCATTTTAACTATAAAACTTTGTTAAAATATCAAGGAAAAGAGAAAAATAAATGCACCTTGTGTTATCCCTGTTAACACCCAGAAGGGGTATATACATGTATTGTTAACATACTATGTCATATATTGTTCCTTCGTTCTAACAGAAGTGTATATGGGGGTGTTGTGTTGACTGAATACATCTCCTTTGGTCAGGTCATGTTACAATTGTCCTTTTCACTAGAGCTCTGACACAAGAAAAATGAAGTCCGTGTACTGTCATTTTGGAAAACTCTTTCCTCATTTTGCAAATCAGATGATTGGTCAAAGTTTGACTATAGCCAGCACCTACTCAGGAAGAAAGCATGTGAATAAAAAAATAGAAAAGTTTTAGAAATCTTAAAAAACATGAATTATATATATCAACAAAAGATAAAAAGAAAAAACGTAAGTGCTCTGAAACATCAATAAAAATATAATGAAAAGACTAGGCCTAGTTTACATTATAATCCGAATTACTGTCTCCTAGGTGTATGCACACAGAGGGTCTATTGTCCCTGATAATGTAGCTGCATTTTGTAATACTTTTATACTTTTTAACTACTAAGCACATCTTTGTATGTAATATTCTTGGAATATAAATCAAGTTTTGGATCATAAAATTAGAAATATTCAAGTAATTGAAACGTAAATATAGAGAGAAAAAATCAAGTTAATTGGAAAAAAGTCACTGTGATCTAACGTTTGTGCTACTAACCCACTTTTTCATTGACATTTCTTCAAGAAATCAACAACCTAATAATTGTTCAAAAAATGCATTTTATTTGTAAAAAAAAACCTGTATGTAGGCCTTAAATTGGGAATATGTCTTTTCCTACTCACATCCGCACAGTCCTGTCCAGCGACGACCCCAGATCTAGACCTCGCCAAGTCAGCGAATGCACACCCCGGGCCCTACGCTACCCTGGGGTCCGCAACAAACTCAGCCCAACGATAATGCATCGCCCAGCATGCGCAAACAAACCTTCAGCCACACAGGTGCACCTCCAAACCACAGGGGCATGGATCTCTTTACTTATCCCTTTGTATATATTAGTATAGGAGACCCCTAAATTTTAATATTATAAGTAAAGCGATACATGCCCCTGTGCTCCAAACAAACTGCAATACCCTCGCTCGTAGTCAAGAGCACAGGGACCTGAGACATTGACACAGCTATTTTTGGACTAAAACTGAGGTGTTCAGAGTAAATTTATATGTTTTAGGGGTTTAGATCAACTTTCGGTAAAAATGACACTCCCAATGATTATATATACGAGGTGGGATTTTTTACGAAAGTCTATCTCAACCCCTAAAACGTGTAAAATTACGCTGAACACCTTAGTTAAGGTCCAAATTCTCAGGTCCCTGTGGTCAAGAGCTCTAGATCTGTAATCCGCACATCTAATACTTTTCCCAACGAGTATCCCCGCCCCAATTCCCCATCCTTTATGATACTTCAAATTTTGGCAACCACTGCAGCTTTTTTTCTTACAAAGATAACCTAACTCACTGTATGCATTGTGTCCAAAACTCGGCCGCTGAATAAGCCTTTCTCACTGGAAATATTGATGCCAATTCTCAATATTTACTATCATATGGCATCGCCACTATATAACAATACCAAATTCAGTTGGCATTCATATAGGCTATGAATATTCTATTCATTGAACAAGCATACACGATACATACATTATATGAACTAAATGCTGAATAAAAATAAATGCACTTTTTTATGAGATGAACAGATTAAAAAAAACGGTAAATATAAGTATTGAACTGCTTTCAGTTGTTATTCATCGGCAATAGGAATTCCAACTGGACAAACGCAAATTCAATGAAGTGCTTATGAATGCCAACTGAAAGCAGTTCAATGCTAAAATGAGTTGCACTACTCCGTACTTACACGACAACTAGACTACTTTTATCGTGAAATTGGTTTGGGGATTTCTTTTTGTCTAAATCTTTGTCCGTTTAGTGACAAAAGCAAAATGGGAAATAAGAACTGATCTTTGTTGTTGAGGGAATTTTAGTTTTTAGACACTCACTGAAAAAAACCGAGTGACGTCCCCGAAGTGGAGGGAACCACGCTGTCGTGTGGAGGAACTCCACGCTTTCTTCACTGAACCAATGTCAAGGGAGGAATCTAGCTCAGCTAGAATTTTTGTTTGCTCTTCTTCCTTGCGCTGAACCTTACCTTCCAAGATTTTAACTTACAACGCGACTGAGACGCAAAAATAACGTAGTTGGTTTTTGGCAAACACTCATTTGTTCACTGTACAAAGCGTGTATTCAGTAATACCGCGGCCTGTGGTTATAACACATGACGTGTGGCTATACATAGCTACAGTTCAGTGTACAGATTTAACCCTATAGGCAGTGTAAGAAAAACATGACACAATACCGAAAAGTCAACACAAAGGAGATTCGAACACAACATATAGAACACTATGAAAAATACAAACAAAGAAAATATTCACTTCATGGAGACCTTTTAAAATATTTGAGGATTGAATCTTGCTATAGTCGATTTCATGGGGTGATGAATTGAGTTGGTCTTGAAACAAATGTTCATGTTGAATTGATGATAAGACCAGGTTCTCCGGAAGGGCAAGCGTGTTTTGCTTCACTGACGATATCCGCCGTATAAATCAAGGTCAAATCCAAATAACGTCACGTCCTCGAGAAACGGGGTTGTGATGACAAACACCAAAATATTCTACTGAGCAAAAGCAAAAACGGTGATTCTCGTTTCACACAAAGAAATAACATATTTTCTCATGAGACCCTGATCGCGACCCTAAAACTTTGAAAACTCGGTGTTGGAAGTTGCCGGCTGACGACAGACATCTATCAGCAGTCATGATCAGTCGACATACATCACGGGAAAATCATGATATTCGAAACGTTGGCATTCCCATTTGAACCATCTGTGTCCCTCTCTTGACCAACTTGTTTACGATTTCATGTGAGGCTGCGTATTAATTGAAGATATCATTAGTGCAGGTTAAAAAACATAAAGTCCTTCAATTTCACTTGAAGATCAACGATGTTCTGTCTAGAAAGAGAAACGGAGAGAGTGAGAGTCAACAAAACCATAATTCGATAAAACTAGAGCAAAATATGAGCAAAGGAAATATTAACATGGAGTCTCTTAAAGAAGCACAGGGAGAATAAGACCATGCGTACCGGCAGGATAAGCGTCTTCTGCTTCATCGATGACACCCGCCATGTAAATCTAAGTCCAAGTAATGTCACCTCCTCACATCGAGAACTAGGACAGTGACAGCAAAACCACAATGCACTCTAATAAGCATTGTAATAAAAAGCATCGAAATTCATATCAAACAAAGAAATAGCGTATTTCCCTGTGAGATCCTGATGGCGACCATAATGCATCTTTCGAAACCCTGTGTTGTAAGTTTGTCCGTCAGCAGTCGACATATCACTGAAGCAATGCTATTCAGAGCGATCTCTTTAAAGAAGCACGTGTACGGAGAATAGTTAAGTTTTATAATCGCCATCTCGACCTCATTCAGAAAGATGAACGTAACACACACAGGTGATTGCACCTCAAACATTTGGTTATAGATGCATTATACCAAAAAATAGTTACACCGCGTCACACTGCTGTCCCGTCCTTTTGCGAATCCTCGGTGATGCTAGGGGCCAAAAAGTTGGAAATCCAGATAGGTTTTCTCAAAAGAGATTACTGTGGCCATCAAGCTTACGTCAAATTTCGGGGACTAAACAAAATCCACCAGTAGAGTCCACCACCGTGTATCTTGAAAGATGAGCGTAACCCACACACATACACACACAGTTGATTGCACCTTTAAAATTTAGTCACCGATACAGTATGCCAATAATGAATTATACTGCCGCTTGTGCAGTGGAAAAGTCGATGTTTTTTAGGCTCATTAGTATGCCTTGTCAGTTGTCACTAGGCCTATCCCGGTTCTCATTTTGAAGATATGTCTTCTTGTATTCGCCCGCTGCATTTCTGTGAGACGGCTTAGCGTGTACCCTTCTGGAACACCTGGTCTTTTTCTCCTTGTTCATTCTTCAATGATATCCATGTAAATTTTGCATTTTATACTTTGCCCAACTTTTATCGATTTGAAGTTTGAGTTCGAATTACAGTTTTAATGTAAACACGTTGATTTTTACCCTTGAATTTTCCCCCCAACATGACTGACCCTTCAATACGATTATTGCTGGTGCAATATATAGTACCGTATTGTCCACGAACCTAGCTTCTCACTTTAACGTAATTCATAACGCTTTTTTTTTTAAAGCATTACAGTTAAAGCACAAAGCTGATGTTAAGGAAATTTGCCTTTAGTTAGAGAATGTTCAGTGCTTAATTCCCACAAAGGGCATTCGTTAACGTTCAGACCAAGTCACTATGGGGCGCCGTTTTGGTATTTATTCACAAAATTCAAAATCGATTTTATGATATCATTATATGAATTTATGATATCATAAAATCGATTTAATGATATCACAAATTCGAATTCATGATATCATAAAATAGCCTGATTTAATGATATCATGAATTCGAATTAATCATATCATAAAATAAGAAACTTTTAGCACGAAACAATGAGTTCTCCCCATATCAGTTTTTTTAAACGCTTGGTTTTGTTGCATTGTCTATCTTAAATGGTGTGCTGATCCGAGCTGCCGAGACGGGAATAACTGAATAATGTAGAACGAATATGTCGATAGATCATACCCGTTTTGGTATGAACATATCTACGTTTACTGATATAGATCGCTAATGTTATGCCTAAACTCATCTTCAATTTCATTGTCCAATGCTCTTAGAGCATTGGCCACCATTCCATCCATCTTCGTCAAATTGGCGCGAATGGCAATCCAAACAGAACTTTCTGAGGGAGCAGTCCTTAGAAAAATAGATTTTATGATTTCACAAATTCGAATTAACGATATCATTAAATCAAATTAATGATATCATAAATTCGAATGTGTGAAATCATAAAATCGATTTTATGATATCACATTTTGTAAATATTTTTTTTGGGGCTTCAGGAACAGTTCTCTGGATCCGGCCCTGAACTATACCATAATAATTCATGAATGTTAACGGCAGCTAATCACAGTGGGATGGTTGCATATTTATTATAGTTACTGTCGAGTGTGGAGTGTCACCGGGTAAACTTGGCCGGTTTGTGCACTGATCTTTACTTTGACAGTGATCTATTAAAGTATTGAAAGAATATCACTTTGCTATTCATGTTATTCAATTCACCGCTGGTAAGAAATCAAATTATTTGTAATCAACCTGACTGAAGTAACTCGGTTCAAGCGAGACCAAAACGCCAACTTTCAGTAAACGTGAGTTCCGAAGGAAATGCCCGAGAACATCCGAAAGAGCAAAAAGATGCAGAGGGATACTGTGTAGGCCTACTAGTAAGTTAATCGAGTTTATATCAGTGGATATTGTTACATGTTATTCAGGATATTTTCTGTCATATAAATCCGACAATGTTTGTCATTTCAGTACTGTACAGCAGAAACACGACTACAACTGACCTAAGAATGTGAACAGATGCAGACGACGCGTAAGATCTTTTTCTGTCCTTCCTTAAAGCTGAATGACAGGCAGTTTTATTATGTGATTGTCAGTGGGTATTAATAATAATGATAATAATGATAGTCTTTATTTCAACTTGATGACATATTGAGTCAAAGACTTGTCTTACATAATTATGGTCAAGCATACAGTTTTACGAAAGCCCTTTAACATTTTGATCAAAATAGGGATAACAGATTTTAAATGCAATTATGTATCATTTTTTTTAGAAAGAAATGTACTGTTATTTTATGAGATATATGACAAAGTGACACACAGTGAATAAAGGGCCACACAGTTCTGTATTACAGTGGGGTACAGGACTCAGTTTCTACAATATCTTACATTTTATATGTAAGTACCTTACTGTAAGTTACCTCTTGGAATGGTGAAATGTTGCATTACTGAAATTGTAAGTCTTGTGCTCTACTGTGAACAGGGTAATGGCCACATATTTATCTATAATACTACATCTGCTGGCAATATATTCTAAATAGGAAATTGTAGACCCTTGTCAGTGTACATGTCTCAGTGCAGGTCATGACAGTATTTTTCAGGGTGCCCTGGGCACAAATGCAGGTGACTAGTCAGGTGTGTTATTTTCAAGATAGATTTATCATATTGCATGTTGGGCTTCTTTGGAGATTTTTTGGTATTAAATAGTTCCATAATAATATCTATTATTGTAACATATGTATACATACATGTACGTTCCATGATTCTAATATTGGAACATTAATGCTCAGTAGTAAATTTATAAATGAACAGTGAACAGTGTATATTGCCTTTAGATAATAGTCAATGCATTAATTTATGTTCTTGATTTCAGATAAATATTTTGAGACATTTTACTGAAGATTCAATATGGCTACTGTACAACCAAAATATAGTAAGTTTTAATCATAAATGACATGCATAACACCTCAAATCTATTTTGCAAGTAAGCTCCATATGTACTAGATATTGAATATTTATTTTGACCTTCTTTTATCAAAATTATTGGCACAATGAGAAATCGTTTTTGAAATAAAAGATTGGTTGCTTGGAGTTTTTCTTCCTTGCAACACATGATGTCATCTGAAAATGGGAGATAAACAGGGTTATGAAAATATCCAAATTAAGATACAGAGAAATGATCTAGGCTTCTTATTGATTTTGTTAAGTTTACCTGTATTACAAACTGTTGTAAGGTAAAAAAATACTGGTCATTGTTATAAGTGATACGTATATGCATTTTTAAAACTTGTGTTGAAACATACAAAACTTGGTTTGCAGATTTTGGGCTTCTGCAGACTCCAATGTCAAATATCTCTGGATATGAATCAGAAACAAGCACTGATGTTTTTCAAAGGATTCCAAGACAGAATGTTGATCATCTGCTCAAGGGTGCAGGGCATGCATCAAGTAAATTCCCTGCAGCTTCTGGCTTGACTTCAAATACATCAAGGTATCTAGATGTCATTTGCTTACTCAGTGGTGAAAACAGGGAAATTAATTGTTTTCAAATTTATCTTATCCAGACAAGATGAATTGTTTTTCAAGTTTTTTCTGATTAATGAAACCAGCTTTATTACATATTACATAGAAGTACACTCCCTCGAATTTATTGAAAATGCCATAGTATGTATAGCATTTGATTAAATAATTGGAAAACTCATCTAATTCTTTCCAATTATCTTCAGGGCATATGTTTTTGATAATTTGATAATTTTGACAACAGTAATATGTACACAGGTAAAATTTCTTGATGTCAATTTTCCAGGTCAAATTCAGGTAATTTGTTGACCTGAAATAGACTGTTGTTGCTCTTTTCATACATTTACCTGGTACATATTCCTTTCTGCCTTCAAGTTACTGATTTTAATTGATATGGTTAATTAAGTTCAGTGCTCCTGGACTGAGTTGGTAATACATTAGTGACCATGCAGATAACCTAAATGATGGAGCTCTTAGTGTTCCGATTTGGAATCAAAGTTTGACCAGACGCAGATTATTTTTTATTTTATTTTTTTTACTTCAAATATCAAGATAAAGCATTGGGCACAAGATATATATAAACTTTTACAAGGTTTCGCCTCACCAATTATATTGGTAATAAAGTTATTTTGGGCAAAATAAGCTGCAAGAAATCAGCACCTGCTTATAGTTAAAGGATAAGAACTTTATGTTTGTACTATATAATATTCCACATTTATACTAGTACAAGTGTTGCTGGTGTGAGGAAGAGAGGAAAAGGTTTAGGGTATACCACTCCAGGCTCTACCAGTGCTCTGAGAACTCCAGCTTCCCGTCGGACACCAGGCAGCCTCAGCTACAGTACAACTACTCCCAGGGATTCCACAACTGCAGTGATTGTTGGTAAATGAATCTTGAACTCAAAAGTGTGTCTTTAACTGGAGGTAGATTCATATCAAAAATTTCATTGTCGTAGAACCTAATATTAAAGTTGTTGGGACCTGATGGTGAATGAAGGAGATAAATTAAGAGCTTAAGCTGAGAGGATATGTAAACTATACTTTTAATAGGAGTCCATGTTACTTGCATAAAAGCTGTCAACAAAGTTAGACTGTATAGCGGAACTGGACTGGGTCAATCACAGGCGACCAGGTAGCTCAATTGGTTAGAGTGTTCGTCTAGAGTTTGAAGTGTCCTGGGTTTGAACCCTGGTCTGGCCGTACATTTTTTCCGCTCCTGTTACAGACTGCAAAAAATATTTGGTCAAGCAATTTAATATCAGTGGTGCTACTATACTGGTGAACCTGGAATGTCAGTCACAGTGAGAGTTATCGCCCTTTGTACACACATTATTAACGACTTGTGCAACCTTAATATTTACTGCCTAGGATTGTGACTAGGAAATCAAACTATGTATATGAGTTATTAACCAATGGATTTCTTAGTTTTTCCTTCACTGAAGTTTATTTGGAGTGATTACAATTATCAGAGCTAGATGATATATAATAATGGAATTTAGTTGTATCAGTAACCTGACACAATATGTATCCCTTTCACTGTAATAACTATATTCTTAAGTAGAAGGAAATGGTGGAAGTAGTTCAAGAGGAGGAGGAAATATGAAAGATTTCAAAATTGAATTACGATATTTTACCATGATTGAGTTATTATTGGATGATCATATCTTGTGCTAGCAGTGGTGTAAAATTTCATATTGAGTACAGTAGCCTCCCAGAATAATTAAAAATAACTAGTCTGACAAAAAATCTACATTAAAGCCCTTAATTTCATACCCCTGTGCTACTGCTATCGACTGTGCTTCAAAATATGTGGTGATGTTACATTCGGTTTATTTATAGCTATTGTGGAAGGCCGTGGATTAGCCAAGGGAGAGATAGGACTGGCCAGTCTGGATCTCAAGTGCCCACACCTTACACTGTCTCAGTTCTCAGACACTCAGACTTATGTTAAAACTATCACTAAGCTTCAAATCCTACAACCAATAGAGGTAAATAAAACATTGAAAAAAATATATAAAATATATAAAAGTATATGCATTAACTTTACAGTATGTACATGTAGTACCATAAATGTAGCTAGTTGTTTCTTAGCTCACATTGCTTACAGTGCTGGTGTAGTATGGTAATATGAAGGCCATGGTGAAATGAACCGCCCCATGGTTAAATGAAGGGTTCCAACAATTTCTAATCTGACAACTTTTTTCCATTCATTTTCTTTAAGTTTACTTCAATTTGATGTATTCTATCTGAAATGACAAAAATTAAGTTAGGGGTAGAACAATTTAGGGTGGGGCAGGGGGGCTTCACTTTACAATGGGTTTTAGCATGTTTTCTTTCTATTGGACTTTTTTAAACCAAATCTGTTTTACTTTACATCAGTTTGATGTCATTGTGGGAGGAAATTGTCAAATTGAAGTACTCGGAGAAAACCCACATGGTAGGGCAGGAAACCCCATACCTTTTTGTGTCCAATTGGGGAGTCAAACTCTGGCCATCTTGGTGAAAGGCGAGCGTTCTATCCACTGCGCCATCCGACACCACATACCCATTGGATTGTATTTACTTGGTTATAACTATTAAAGATGGGTAGAACTTCAAACCAGCATTTTCTGTAAAGGAAAACCCAAATGTTGCTCATTAAAATGAGTGACTGTCTTTGTCTTACTGCCTGGTATGTTTGTTCAGTACCATGGTACATATATGTAACATATTATGTGTAGTATCCTAGAGCACTTTGACAAAATACTTAAAATATTTATTTATTGAAAATTTAGCACTCTTCATGTGTAGACTGGAACCAGTATGAATTTTACATTTTCAGATCATAGTTCCAAATACTGCTTGTGAAAATGGAACCATGACAAAGCTGCTCAAACTGATCAATGATCAATTCCAGAATACTAGCATATCAACAGTTCAGAGGAAGTATTTCAACGAAACAAGAGGTAAATCTGTTGTCAGAGAATTAGCCAAATATCTCTCATTTATGTGTTGTTTATTTCCCAAGTTTGCTTAAAAGTATTTATATGAAAATCTAAAATTGAAAAGTAGATAATAAATTACTTTCTATTTCTAAGTTTTGTGTCATGTTTATAATGTGCTACATTTGTGAAGCGACTGTAAGGATTTTTAGCTCACCTGGCACTTTGTGCCAGGTGAGCTTATGCCGTGGCATGTCGTCCGTCCTCGTCCGTCAACTTTTCCTTTCAACAACTTCTTCTGAAGAACGGACAGGCCTAGAGTCATGATATTTGGCTGAAAGCTTCGTTGGTAGGAGCCCTACAAAGTTTGAGAACGAAAATGACCTTGACCTGTTTTCAAGGTCACAGGGGTTAAATATGTCAAAAACTTCAAACAACTTCTTCTGAAGAACTGAAAGGTATATAATCTCTATATTTGGCCTGTAGCTTCCTAGGAAAGAGCCGAACAAAGTTTGAGAATGAAAATGACCTTGACCTTCTTTTAAGGTCACATGAGGCAGATATGTCAAACACTTTAAACGACTTCTTCTGAAGAACTGGTAGTTATAAAATCTTAATATTTGGCAGGTGGCTTCCTGGGAAAGGGCCAAATAAAATTTGCAAATGAAAATGACCTTGACCTACTTTCAAGGTCACAGCGTTCAAATATGTCAAACAGTTCAAACAGCTTCTTCTGAAGAAATAAATGGCATAAAATTATAATATTTGGTTGGTGACTTCCCGGTATAGAGCTCAGCAAAGTTTGCAAATGAAAATGACCTCAACCTACTTTAGAGGTCACAGAGGTCAACAACATTTTAATGGATTTGTTCTTGAGAACTGAAAGGAATGGATTCATAAGATTTGGCTGGTAGCTTTTTGGAATAGAGCTAACCAATTTGAGAAGGAAAATGACATTGACCTACTTACAAGATCACAGGGAAAAATATGTCAAGCAACTTCTGAAGAAGAATCAAAAAGCATAGAGTCTTATAATAATATTTTGCTGGTAGTTTCAACAGATGGAGCCAACAAAGTTTGCGAGGGAAATATTTTTAGTGCAATATAATATTTAATGAGAATATTTTGCTATGACTGCTTAAATATTCAGGTGAGCGATACAGGCCCTCTTGGGCCTCTTGTTTACTGTAACAGATAAGCAAACCAAAGGTGTATATGACACTGCAAATTTGCTGGAACTTGAACTTGACAGATTTTTATGTTCTTTTCTAGGACTTCAGTACGTCAAGCAGCTGTGTGTACCAGAGTTCAATACAGTGGAGATGGAAGTTCGGTTGAAGTAAGCTTTGCAAGGTTTTTCTTTGGTCCAGTTTGTATGTTGGAAATTTTATCTCTATTTTTATGGACGAAAGTTTTTCTGAATTCTTTCCTATTAAATATAAAGCATCTATAAGGAAAATTAGGAAATAAAATTGTTCTTCTAGAATCAAATTCTGAAGAAATAATGCATAAAATTTGATTTTTTTTGTCAAATTTGGATTAATCTTTATCAAACTGGGATTTCTTCTGGAAAATTAGGCTGAATTTCCAAACTAAAAATATATCAAAATTTCGACAAACACCTCCTGCAATGCTTTTTATATCTTTGAAATAAAAATAATATTAAATAAAAACAGGGGTGTACAATTTTACATGCATAAGGGTACAAGCAAACAGGCAGATTAAAAGGGGTGGGGGCTAGGGATTGAGCTGTTATCAATTCCTCTCCCAAAATTTAGTTCTACATATTGCAGGTACTATGCTTTGGCAGCAGTGGCGTCCCTCATGAAGTATGTAGAATTCATGCAGAATATGATGTACGCTCCAGGATCCCTCAAGGTTGTGTTCCAGGGCAGTGAAAACACAACTATGATTGGTATGAGAACACAATTTGATTATCGTTGTACATTATGGTCACCATTGTGAAAGGGTTAAGTTTTAAATCAAGTTTTACATACTACAGTGTGACCTGTCTGAACCGGATGTCACCGAACCAAACTGTTTGTCCGGTTTACACAGGTGTCCGGTTTATACAGGGTCAGCATGTCAATTTTTGAAAATACAAAAATGTAGTGTTTAGCATACGCTCTGTATACAGTGTGTCAACATAAACGACAGAGAAATTAATGAATCAATCGCAACGTTTAATAAATAACAAAATATACAGTATATAATATAAATGAAGGGCGACCCAACTTTGGATAGTGCTAATTTGTTTAGAATGTGTTTGCTTTAGATTGTAGCAGGTTGTTTTAACATGGGTTACTATGCCAACTTTTGTAAAACAATGCCGGTTTTCGAAATGGACAGGGTCCAGTTTATACAGGGTTTAACTACTGTACTATGATTATATAGGGAATATGTCGGGACCACAAAACACAGCCGGTTTAGACAGGGATCTGGATTAGACAAGGGCCAGTTTAGACAGGTTATACCGTGAATTAAAAAACATACTTTCAAAAGTTGCTGTATAAATATTACAAGATGTATTGATGTTTTAGATGCATCTTCAGCTAAGAATTTAGAGTTGCTTCAAAACCTGAGAGATCCAACCAGTGATATTACACTGTATGGTATTTTGAACTATACAAAAACTCCGGGAGGAGCACGACTACTGAGGGCAAACATCCTGCAGCCTCCCTCAGGTAACTCATCATCATTATCAGAACTTTCATCATGATGCTTGTTAATTATTAGCTAACATTTTTTGCAGCATTAATGATTATGCAAATGTAGAACTTTACTAGTGACTTCCATGACTCTGACCTCAATTTTATAGTCATACATTGAGGTGAAATTAGAGTTAACTTGTCAGAACTACAACTTCTCAATTTCTGAACATAGTTTTGATAGATTACTGATCAATTTTTCATGTCTAACTGCTAACTGCTTGTCTATGTTAAAGCTCCAAAATGTTTCAATTCAAAAGTTCATTTCACATCTTTTGTGCTTTCAAGTTTAATCTTTGATGAGACTCCAACATGGGCAGCAGTTTTGTCAGTAGCGTTAAGTATGTAATTGAACCTTATTGATATCATCCTAAGACCCATATTACATGCATGCAGTTAAATATAAATTAACCTTTTTTTTAAAAAAAATAGGAGTTCTTGAATGTTGTATTTGCTGTTGTGAGATTATTGTTATGTAACAGGAAAGAGAGTAGTGTAATTCCAACAGGGATCATACCCCCCAATCCCAGACTTCCTAGTCAGACGCTCTACCACTGAGCTAAAGGAAAATTCCCTCTAGCTCGAAGCTAGAAGGCGACCATAATTCCTATGTACAGTCAAAACCTGCCACAGTTTTATCATAACCTCACACTGAAATAAATGGGATTAGTGATGTCAACAAAATTGAGTACAAGTCATATATTGTCAAGGTATGAAACCATTGTTTAGAAAAGAGGTGACAGAAGGTTATAACATAAATGTTACAGATCTAGAGACTATAACCATGAGGCAGGATGCCATTGGGGAGTTGACAGAGAAGGAGGAGGTGTTTTACAACCTACAGACAGTGATTGGTCAGTTCCCAGACGTTGATCACTTACTGTCTCTACTGCTGCAGATCCCAAAGCAGGAAACCATTAAGATAGCAGAGAGCAAGATCACCAATATCATATATTTGAAGCACACGCTGGAGCTTATAGAACCGCTAAAGGAAGCTCTCAAGGACTGTGAGAATCCTCTCCTGAAAGCCTACTGCAAGGTTTATCTTTTATATGTCATATCTTACTTTAATAATGGAAGTATACTGCAAACTGTAAGTTTGATTTATTGTCTCCCAATCTCATATACCAAAGTTGAGCTTAAATGTAGGTTTGCTATCTGTTAATCAATTGTTATATCTTCTATCTCATCTATAGAAGTAAACCTATTGCATTGTAGGTTCATCTGATCTACTAAAAGCCTACTCCGAAGAAGGTGCTATCTTCCATAGGAATGTATGGTAGTTTTAATGTATCCCATCACCTCACCTGTGTGTGTTAAGTTCATCTTACCGGTATACAAGGTGGTTAACTAGATCTGAGGGTGGACTTTTTATTCTCTTACCCTGGACAGGTGTATCCGCACTTTCACCGGTGTGAGATTTCCTTGTCTCACCCTAGGGTTGAGACGGGGGGAATCCCCTATTCATAACAATGATATGATGTCACTTCAACAATACAATGACGTCATCTCAACAATCCATCAACATCACGTCAACCCTGAATTTAGCCTGTGACGTTAACATTACATTGTGTATATGATACACAATGGGTGAACAGGGTAAGAGAAAAAGAATCATTCACCTCCTTGGGGGTGAGATAGGGGAATCTCAACCCTCGGGGAAAGATTCTTAAGTTGCCAAACACTCGGCAGAGCCTCGTGTTTGGCAACTATTAAAGAATCTTCCCCCTCGGGTTGAGATTCCCCTATCTCACCCCCAAGGGGACGAGAGATTCTATTAGTCCCCAAGGTTTGCTGTAACCTTGATGGCCAAAGTTATCTCTTTTGTAGTGGCAAGGGCCATGAATAAAAAAACACTTCAAAGATTATTAATTTGAACTGTGCTCCTGTAAAAATTTTAAATTCATAAATGAAGGGGTCTTACCTGCAACTTGGATTTCCAACGTTTTGGTCCCTAACATCATCGATGTGTCCTAGAAGGACCAAACAGCTATATGATGCAGTCATTTATTTTTGGCTAACTGTATTTATTACTAGAATTTTAAAGGGGCATTCACCTGTGTGTGTGTGTTGCGCTCATCTGAAACCTATAATGCAGGGTAGTTTACTGTATGCCATCTCATTCGCTTATTATTCTTCATCTCATCCATTGAAAGGCTTCCGCAATATAGATTTAGTGTACTTATTTCATTTACTGAAAATATACTATAAGGTACATGTTGGTAATAAACTGTTTTCCGATCTCTTCAAAAACTTTTACTGCAAGATAGATTTAGCAAAGTAAGTTTCACATCTCTCATTTCAGCACGTGTGTTTACTGTCTCCTTATTTAATGCAGAAGGTTTCTATCTACTATTTGCCTTTACTAAAAGCCTTTTGCAAAAGATTTTGATTGACCATCCTCCTGAATATGATCTAGTTAAAGTCTACCAAAAGTTAGGATTAAAATTTAGTTTTAGTCACAAAGGAAAACTTTTAAGTGCCTAAAATGTGCTAAATTGGATTATTATCTTGCGAAAATCATACTTAACTTAAATTTCTCATAATTAAAAACCATGTATACTGATTAAAAGAAATGTGTTGCTGACAGCTTTTTGAATTTCTTTTATCATATTTGCAGAAGGTCAAACCAGTTCTTCTTTAGGGACTTTGTTTTGTTTAAGACGCTTTTCAAAAGCTACAAGCCACTGTATTGAAACAAATGAACAACTACTCTATAATTGCAGACCAAAGTTTTCTCTCCAACTTGCTTTCTAGTTGAAATAAAACCCTGAACACATTTTTCAGACAGTGATTTATCCAAATTCAAATGATTTTTTGAACAAAATGAGAAATTGATATCATCTTTCGAAACTAGTGGAAAAACAGGATTTAGACCCATCGATTGAAATTGGCAGTATACAATATGTACCTAAAATTTTACTGTGGACAATACGGTAGCCAGATGATATCTATATTACATAGATCCAACACTTTTTAGTACATCTCAGAATATTCTAACATACATTTCTATATACCAACCAAGTTGGAGAGGAAGTAAAAGCAATGTGCGTTGTTGGCAACATACTTTCTTCCTGCAGTTTGTGTTTCAAGATGAATGATAAAAAAGTAGTTCTGAAAGTTTAAACAAACTTTTTGGAACCCACGCCAGCCTATTTCATCCTGCAAGTTGATGCTGTTAGACGGCCTTTGCAGTAATGCTGTAAACCAATATATATAAATCATATTGTCTTGATCTGTTTTTATACTTGTTTCTTGTTTCTATATTTACCCTATACATTTGCAGTTTTAGCATGATGTTTACTGTTTGAAATAAACAATTTGGCATTCAAGTATTTTTTTTGTCATACGATGTTGCCTCGGGTCATCTTGACCTATTTACCTGTTTACAATTTGGAACTGACACTTTGGGCTAGGAATCTGACAACTTTGATTTTAATAAGCCATTCTCACCTGTTATTGAATGACATATCACCAACACAAGTCCTTTACCTCATTAACTATGAACTCAAAGCAAGATGAATATAGCGTATTTTAAAAATAAGACCGTAGTATTTCATAAAGTGTGTTGGAATTGGTACTGTCCGATGTTTTTTCTTGCAAATACTCGTTATTAGGACACGAAATTTGTTTTTGAATTCTCGACCTATCGGTCTTGTATTCAAATCAATTCCTCAGTATCGACGTTCAAAATGATGTTCTATCCCCTAAATAATAAATGTCAGAATTACTTTTCATATGTTCATGTAAACACAGCTTCACTTCTCGTCCAGTGTCTATCTCCCCCTGACCTTTGCCATGTTACTGATGATCTACTGACTATAAAACTTCTCCTGGTCTATGGACTCCCTTTCCTTTTCATTCCTACCAAATTCTACACAATCTGCAACTGACACTTTTAGCTTGAAGTCGGCCAACTTTGTCTCGTTTATGCTAAAATGTTATTGAAGCTTATAATTCCCTACTATTTACTACAATGAAAATTATTGACAGTTTACAAGGGCTCATTTTTTTTATACAAGCCTTAAACAGTTACACTGTACCCAAATCAGGACAGTACCCAAAACGGGACGCTTGTGGGAAAACGGTTTAAGAAACTGTCATTCAATGCAAAGAAATACTTTTATGTATACAGTTTTCATTTGATAATACATTTCAAGAAAATTTAACTGTATAAAGCTTTATTGGCTGCTGATTATCGTTACATGGACAATTTAAAGGTAAGAATAATTACCGAAACAAGTCTTTCCTGATTTACATGCCATGCGACGCTATTTATTTGGATATCATTTTCAAAAGTCTATTTCATCAATACTAATTCTACTTCGGTTTCTTTAATGAAGGTAATCGGGCATGATATTAATTTGTAGTTTGATTGTAGTCATTGGATGATCCTCGGTTTGACATCATCATAACAAAGATATCCAGTGTAATTCATGAGGACACGCGCTTCCAGAAGGGAACTCTTCACATGAGAACTCAGAAGTGCTTTGCTGTCAAGGTAAATGCACTGTACGCGGTTTCTGAAAAGATAAGGTTGAATGAAGGAATATTGAAATATCGTTTGCATTAGCTGTCAAGAATGAGTTTTTTTCTTATTATTGTCTTTATATAACGATTAATTTAATGAACAGGTCAATCCTATATACCATTCTTAACTTGAAATCACGGACACTAACAGCTGATCGGTCAGGTATATGTGAGCCTTCCGTACATTTTCAGTAATTGGCCGCATTGTTTAATTTGCTGTTGATAATTATCCCTATCGAGAATAAAGAATAACTCTGCCACGAAAATTACTACAGAAAATTAATAAAGTACATTGAAAACTTTTCTCCTTACATTAGCTTCATAAAATATTCTTTTTTTTCTCTCTTTCAGCCAAATATCAATGGTGAGTATTTCCTGATTGAAATATAATGAACTCTTTTGATTGCAGAGAATGTTATATGAAATAAGATGTTAATTACAGTTAATATTCAGTGTATGCTAGTGTATCGTTGTCAATTTTACGAAAGCTTTTGCACTTATATTTTGAAAAAACCCACTTGAACACCTGATCATTGCAGTCGCGATAATACTGAAATAAATATTTAATCAATCATCAATCGCCAAAATATTTGTATACGAAAGAGATAACAAAGGAAATATAACAGTCTTAGAAAGAAACTTGAAGTTGCACTAAGTGGTTCTCTATACAAATTTGCAAACTTTATACAGTTTCACCTGCTCATGAAACCACAGCCATTTTGAACCCACTTGTGTAAAAAGACCACTCTCAATGTTTTCCATCAAAGTAAAATTGTGAAGTGAAATTGTGAATTGAACTTGTATTAAGAGACTACCTTGATTAAGATTTACCATCTCATTACAATTTGACCGTGTAAATGAAATATACAAACAATTAATCATTAAGAAATATGATGAAAACCATCCATCAGTTTAATGAAACAAGCATACTGAGTATTGCTAAAGCAATACATGCCCCTACCGGCCCCGCTAGCTATTACACTGTAATGATTTATAATAATGGTGCCCTTCGGTGTTAATTTGGGTAAATGAAAAGTATACAATTAGCTTGTAACTGATTTACTATCAATCATATTGTTAAAAAAATCAGAATAAATAAATTACCATGTTTACTGTATATTACATACACATTTGACACTTTAAGTTCAGTAATGAACCGAATATATCGAATATGGAATTTGTTATCGATAATCGGAATCGAAAAGGACAAATCAATCGATGTTCGATTATAATATAACGACCATCAGTCCATCACTGCATGGCTTCAGCTTGTCCAGGATTTTGTATTAATTGTAACGGTGGCATTGACTTCAACTCTACAACCCTGAAACTCAAACTTGTCCGAGATATTGTGTTCCTTTGTAATTGTGTGAAGTTTGATCAAAATTCCTGAAGGAATGAAGCCGCATCGGGGAAGGATGGTTTAACTGCAGACAATTTACCTGGGATTTTCATTAAGGTTACAAAGGCTAAAAGCACGCTTAGCTTTACAACTACAGATTTGGTGAGTCTTAATTTCATTAACTTGTCCGAGATATTATGGTCCTTTGTAATTGTGTGAAGTTTGATCCGAATCCCTCGAGGAATGAAGCCACTAGAGCGCTGACAAGGATTTTCTAAAAAAAAAGGTAACGGTGACTTGACTTTTACCCGTCAACCCTGAAACTCGAACTTCTCCGAGATATTATGATCCTTTGTAATTGTATGAATTTAGATCAAAATCCCTCAAGGAATAAAGCCGCTAGAGCGCTGACAACGATTTTCTAAAAATGGTACTGTAACAGTTCCCTTAACATTGACCCGACAACCATGAAACTCAAATTTGTCCGAGAGAGTATGGTCCTTTGTAATTGTGTGAAGGTTAAACAAAATCCCTCAAGGAATAAAGCCGCTAGAACGCTGACAAGGATTTTCTAAAATAGTTACGGTGACCTTGACATTGACCCGACATCTCTGAAACTCGAACTTGTCCGAGATATTGTGGTCCTTTGTAATTGTATGAAGTGTGATCCAAATCCCTCAAGGAATAAAGTCGATAGAGCGTTGACAAACATTGTTGTGACGTACGCACGTATAGTCCCCACCCCCGGTTTCGTTTGTAGGGGACTTATAATTTTAAGGTGGACCAAACAAAACTTAAATAACCTTATTATTTTCTAATTTAGCTATGCTGAATTACAATATAATTCTTTACAAGCTGCATACTTTTTTTTATCTGTTTGAAGGTTTATTGGATGTGGCACGAAGAATGTACACAGAGATAGTGGATGACATATCAGGTACATTTGTAGATGTGTGTGTGTTTTTGTGTAGGTTGGTATGAATGAATGTTAGTAATTTATTAAAAATACGAGTATTAACATTGTTATCTCACAGATGTTGTTTATTCTATTTTACATCCTTTTCTTTATCATAGATAATTTTAGGTACCATAGTACCATAGAGATTCAAGGTCAGACCTGCAGGTCAGGGATTGAAAAATAATATAACTACTGTTACCCTTTTACATTATTCGTAAGAGGTTACAATTTTGAAAACCTTAGAACTAGGAATTTTCTTGATCGTCCTCAAATTGGGGACACGAAAGTGATCCCAATAATCCAAGCCGCGCTTTGGACTTACTGTAAGCTTTGTTCCTTGACCGAGACAAACAAAAATCCTCAAAAAAATGATGTTTTCTGCAATGCTTGGCGTTCAGTTTTAAATGGATGGGGTCACGACTGGTTACCTGTAATCGGTATAATGTGACCGAATACATGGGCGTTTTACCATGTCCAAGTTACTGCGTTTTAGTGAGATGACCTTTCTGTTGCCCCATCATCAGTAGATACCGTTTTAATATGATAAAAAATTGATTATGAAATAAAATCATCTATTTTAAGAGTTGGTAACACAGTTGGGTGGCCAGTATGGTTTACCTCTGAAGACCAGCTATAACTCAGCAAGAGGATTCTTCATCCAGACATCCGCATCGGGGAAGGATGGTTTAACTGCAGACAATTTACCTGGGATTTTCATTAAGGTTACAAAGGCTAAAAGCACGCTTAGCTTTACAACTACAGATTTGGTGAGTCTTAATTTCATTAACTTAGGTCTAATTAAGTATTTAGCTCACCAACGCCCTTCCTTCCCGTTAGTTATTTTGCATAACATATGACCATAATTATGTGGAATTTGAGGTTTTGAAAGGTTTTAAACGTACTTTTCAAAATAGTTTCGCTTTTTTAGTATTTCTAGTAATTATTTTACCCAACAACACGAGGAGGAGGTATTGACATACCATTGCACACATACAAAAAGTTAAATATTTACAATCAACAATTTATTTTCGAATCCTCAATACATTTCGGATTTTACGCCCCTCCTCTTCTATTTCAACCATACTTTAGACCAAATCGAATTTTACACCTTTCTGCTCTCCTGGAAGTACGAAACAGTTGTATGATGCAGTGTTTTTCATTTTTACATACAGTTTCTATTACCAACCTTTACAGGTGCAGTTACATGTGTGTGTCTTTGATACGCTTATCCTAGAACAGCTGCATTTTTCGATATACACAATATACTCTTTTCATGACAAGTGTGATATATATATATAATAATAAATTTGAATTAAAAACAAATTATCTCCAATTGATTTGTTGGGGTATCCGTGTTATCTGCGATACCTTGCTCAAAAACAGTTCACCACGCATTTATAATGTATCATTTTTGTATGGTTTGAAAGCCTTCAGGAAATGCTATTTTTTTCAGATCAAATTGAATGGTAAGTCAAGGAAGTTATTTTTACAAAGGAGCATTTACTTGCCTTTTTTTTCGATTGTTTGTTGTTACAATGATACGTGTATGGCATTTCTTATTCATTGTTGTTTTAACAGGTTTTTGTTTTATTTAGGATTTTAAATAACACCTTCCAATCTTTGTGAAAAATGTGACCTGTTTTTGATTTGTCAAATCAAAGAGACAGATAAATTTTAAAGTGAATTGTCACCATTTTGTTTGTTTTCAAAGTTACTGATAGATAATTTGACACTTGATCTATCAACCAATATACTTACTACATATCAAATATGTAACTATTTGCAGGAGGTCTCATGTTATACATGTATTTATCACACAATTTCCCTATTATAAGTCTTAAATCCACGTTTATTAACAATTGGCAGAATTGTTGTTGATTTAAAATTTCCAGTGTTTTAATTGTGACGTTATAAATTTGAATCAAGACATAGGTAAAAATCACTAGCTCAATTTATGACTGCTATTTTTCGTTATTTACATGCAGAGAACACTTATATATATTAGTATATCTATTCTTTGTTACTTTTTTATAATCAGTTGTATATGTATGATAGATGCATGTTCATAATGTTTTGTATAAATAGCTATATTCACTGATTTAATTCTTCCTGTTCAATATCCCTTTTCAGCCAGAATTCAACAATCTCTAGAGGAAATATACCTTATGGCAAACATGTAAGTTTCAGAAAACATTCCTATACATTTTCTTGTGAACTTGTAAGATGTTGTTATAAAAGTGGTGTATACGTTGTATTTTACAATCAATATAGTAATCGGGTTTTAAAACAAGACAATGCATATTTCCATTATTCAAATACAGTTAATGGCTAGGTAGCGTTGCTGAAAAGTACACACCAACAGACACTGTCGAGACTTCAGCTAGTTTGGTTCTATACGTCAGTCGAATCTTGAATTAAAAGCCCATTTTCACTTATATTAATCACTCTTGTTGGCACGGATAATAGTGCGGGTTGGGGTGGGGATCTTATTGTGAGAAGAAATTGGAGTACCTGGAGAAAACCCACGTGGTCGGTCAGGTGACCCCATATCTTTTCGCGTCCGATCGGGGTGAAAGGAAAGTACGCTATCCACTGCACCACCCGACCACTCTAGAATTGGTAATGTCCATGAATGATAAATATAACCTGTAGTTTCAGTCATTTGTCTTACCTTTCTTCTGTTAATATCTGTTGGTCATTGTAAATTTACGCGCCAAAAAAACTGATCAAACAAAGACACAATAGAAACACTTATCATAGGCTAGTGATAGATGTACCGACAGGACAACTTTAAAAAAAAAATGTCCGCCATGTCATGTCGCGTTGAGATTCATTATCATGACTCTAACGACTTTATTTCTTTACAGTTAATGGAAAGGCAATGTTATAAAAATATCTCTGATGATTCCGCTTTTCATGGTACCAGGGGTCATGCATGTCTTCCAAACGTTTTCTAGTTAAAACATGGAATATATGTTGCGTATTTGTCGCTACCATATACTTGTATGTATATTTGTAGAGTTGTGACTGCTTTGCTGAATGACATCAGGGGTTACTTGGGCTGTCTCTATAAACTGACAGAATCTGTGGCCATTATAGATGTCCTCCTCTCATTTGCCCATGTGTGTACTCTCTCAAACTACGGTGAGTTGAAAATGTATAAACAATCAAGTCTAGCAGGATAACGACGATCTATTTTATTATTTATTCCTTTATATACAAGTATTGCTCTTGATAACTAAGACATAAGACAAATCGTCTTAATACAAGCACTACAAATCTGCTCTCTGCTTATTTTTATGTCCTTTAATTCAAATCTTACTGAAACCTTCCTGGTTTCATTTAGGACACAGGGTATAGGTTTCAAAATTATTAAGTCTTAAGTAAAACAAATACGGGGACAAGTATGTAGATGTATCAATGTTTGAGTGTTGATTGCCCAAAGTATTTATTTTCATATTTAATTTGAATTTATTTTAACTTAGGCAGCCTGGCGTGTTTACCACAGCTATGGTATTTTTATTACCCCCGCAACGAAGGTAAGGGGGCAGGGGTAGCTAGAATCAGCTCCTGGAGATAAAATCTTGTCTGGGTAACTTCTACTAAGCTAATAAGCCGGTTTCAACTACACGTTATATGCACGGTCGTCATGATCGGTACATCATTTAGTTGCGCACCCCATACTTAATTTCGATTTCAACTTTTTTCTTTAGAGTTATACCGTTTTAGTACCTAATCATTTCAAGCCCCCCGGGAATTTTCCTAATATGATGTTACTAATGTCAAATTTTCTAGGAACGATACATATGATCAACATCAATGGCCAATACATTGTAATAAGGATCATAACTCCGATTGGCTAAGACAAGACATTGGGTAAAGCAGATAAAATGTTGATCCCTTCATTTCCCCCCGATAAAGTTTCTTAAATACCCACCAATATTCTGGAGGAGACATTCATCTCATGCATTCATTGGTACACCGCAGGTCTTTTTGTTTCCCAACGTACAGACATTTGTTTCTTTTTCATGACGTCAATATGACAACTTCTTCCATGTATGGACCGTAATTTGCGTTCGTGTATTTCGTGTATAGTTTGTTTGTGTTTCCTTTGTGTGGAAATTTCACACCTCTATCACGGTTGATACAAAAATGTACCCGTACCTGGTAATATACAAACAGATAACTGGTAACAGTTCAGGCTTTATAATTTTTCTGTGTGTAGAGTACGTACTTAGCTACACACTTGTTGGTTAAGGTCGTTAAAAACAATTTTGGTACCGGATGTGTCCATTACTGTTAGATAAATAGATAACCATACAAGTCTTGCTGAGAAGTGGCAACATACTTACCTCAGGAAAAATATGAGTTTAAATAAGATAACGTGTTTATTCACAGGCCATTCCTTAAATCGATACCTGTTGAACAACTGCGAAATAGATATCGCACAATTGTGCGCACACCCGCACTTCGGCAAACGTTGTGCGATCCCATAACTGTACGTTTTATGCACATTTTTTATGTGCGGATATGCTTTGTATACACGTCAATAAACTACAACCAATGGATTCTGTCCGGCTTTGAATTGCTTGTTATTCTATTGAAGTGTACCTATAATGCAGTTATCTAAACGACAATGCTTAAATGCCTTTTTTGAATCTCTAATAATATTTCGGTTGTAAAGTATCCCAGTCAACTTTCATTTAAACTGAACTCCTTAATTCAGAATCAAGTTGTGTCAGACATTGATTTAGTCCGTATGCAATTTTTTTTATGTATGTTGACGTTAGAATAAATATTACTTTTTAACTTCTCATTATGTCATTAGTTTTTCAATGAAATAAAACCTGAAACACTTCTGAATGTGGCGTCTGGATCACTCCTCTTAATTACGATAAATAATGTTTGCAGTGAGGCCAGAATTCACCGACACACTAGCCATCAAGCAAGGCAGACACCCTATACTGGAGAAGATTGCTATAGGCCAGACTGTACCAAACAATACTGTGAGGAAAACAAATAGAATCTTTTGCTTATTTTTGAAAGCTTAATAAGCAAATATATGTTTTGTACATTATTGATTTGCACTTGTGATTTGTAGAATTATAAACAAGGGTAAACCACTTTATCTAAATACACCATTAAAATCTGTTTCTGAGGAGGCACGGTAGTCTAGTGGTAGGACGCCGGGCTTGTGACCGAAGGGGTGGGGGTTCGAGTCACATCACTGCACTGTGTTGTATCTTTGAGCAAGATACTTTACTCCGCTTGTTCCAGTCTACTCAGCTGTAAATGAGTACGTTGTTTGGTAGTGCTAGACTTCTTGAATGAAAGATGTGAGCGCAGAAATAGCAGCACCGGTTGTTTGGTCCTAGGGAGTTGAGGAAGATATTGGCTGGTAGCAAAGGCCCTGTAACCACGAATAATAATTTGTGAACCGCTTTGAGACGACCTACGAACTATGTTGTGATAAAGCGGTATATAAGAACCTTGAATTTTTATTATTTTTATTATTCTAATAAAACTTTATATTTATGTAAAAACGCTATTGTTGAGGATCAAATATCATAAATACATTATCATCTCAATACCATATTGTAACATATCTTTTTATGCTTTGTCAGTATGCTTCAGATGAGAGCAATTTCCTTGTCATAACTGGACCAAACATGGTAAGAGTCTTGAATGTGTTTTCAAATTGCTTAATAATCTCTTGTCTACTTGCTTTACCTAATTAAAGATTTTAGAGATTTAGTTTTTGAAGTTTTTGGTAAATAATATTAGCAAGTTTAGAATTGTGCAATATAATATTTCAAACTATTTAAGGCTTTTAAACATTTCGGCTCGTACATGTACTTGATATAAAGATATATTTTCTAGTTTGAAGTTACGTTGAATATAATAGCCAACATACTTATAAGTATGCCCGGTATTGCACATATTATTTTTTTTAGAGTGGGAAATCAACGTATCTTCGCCAAATTCCTCTACTCCAAATTATGGCCCAGATTGGCTGTAGTGTTCCGGCCGAGTACGCTTCTTTCCGAATAGCCGATCAGATCTTCTCCAGAATAAGCACAGATGATGAGATGGAAACTAATTCCTCAACGTTTACTCTAGAGGTAAGAACAAAAATAGGTGTTTTGAACAGAAACTGAATCTCTTCATGGAACACGCGTCTTTTAGAACTGATGACACCCCCTATATATATATAAAAAAAAAAAAGATAAAAAAAAAGAGATAAAGCTGTTAAATGTTTTTTGTAACATTTTGATTTATGTGTCTATGTGATTGCATATAATCTACCAATGCGCCAATCTCGTGGTTAGATTATAAATTTATATATACTATTCTGATTTCTTGATTACTATGCAAGATTCATTTGTCTACTGTTTCTTAAATGTTAGTGGACTGACTTTATCAATATTATTATTATTATGGATTTTTTAACGTTAAGTATCAATACACCTTTCTAAAACAGTATGCTTCTTGTCAAGGTTATTTTTTTATGTTTTGTACACGAATAAGAAAAACCTGTACTTACATATTTATTGACTTAAATGTCTACCCTTTTACAGACCGTGGCTCCACATATGCGGCATTTACTGGCTTACCCTTCAGAACACGTGTTAGAGGTGGAGGATTGGGCAGGTCATGTTGTCATGCCATTCCTTTTGTTTTGGCGCCGCCTCAGTTCTTGGCGTTCCGTTTCGACTTTAGACTTTAGGGTTTATGCAATTCGTATGTGTTGAGTAGGTCGTATGTCATTGCTTTGATCTGATGCATGTGTTTTATTTTATAATCGTTCGTTATTGCCAGATGAAAGAAGTGAACTACATCATTCAGAATGCATCCAACCGATCACTGGTAATCATGGATGAACTTGGAAGAGGTATGCAATACGAAGTTCCTAGGTACATGTATTTATATATTATTATAAATTAATCTGAATGTATTATATTGTTCTTACAACTACGAATGTACATATTTTAGTAATTTAATACCTATTTTAATTTCCTTGTATCTGAATTCATTTAACTACTGTTTATATCTTCATTAGGTACCAGTCCAGAGGAGGGTGTAGGAATCTGTCATTCGATTTGTGAATATCTTATTCAGTTGAAGGTACAGTTGTGTTGAGTTCACCGATTAAGTGTGAGTATCCCTTTGGGAAATAATTCGTCAAATTTTGATGAACCCAACTGGCATTGCAATTCATCATCTTAAAACAAATTCTCAATTAAAGGTTACCCTTCAGCATACTTAGTTATTTTCAGCGTCACATAATCTTTCTATTATGTATAAGAACTCTGCGAAAGGTTACGTAAGTTAATACAATTAATGACTTTTTAGGTGCGTAAACAATTTAATGTTAGGTGTATGCAGATGTGGTCGATTATATTGCATGTAACATAACATTAGAATTACAATATGCCGTTGAATTCAGAAATAAACTTCTACACTTGTTTATTTTAAACTATAGCATGAGACAATCCTCGTTTTAAAAACAAAATTCAATATTTTTTTCCCCTCAGTATCTGATGATGGAGGGTTGTTAAAATCGCCCGTTGTCCGTTCGACCGTCCTTAAACAATCATTGTTGGCACTCTCAAAAAGTACATGAGGGGTCTTTCTCAAATGAAAATTCCAATGGTCAGTCATTGTGGATGTTTAATTTTAAGACTGATTGGAAAAAATCGGACGACTACCAGACAGCCATATTAATTTGGCAGTTTTTACACAATTTCGCAAATAGTGCTTGGCAGATCTTTCTAAAATGTCATATGTGTATTATTTTCATAAGTCTTTCGTCATGCATGTTTTATTTGGAGGCTGATCAGTGCGGCAAAATGATTGCCAGGCAGTCATCTTAGATTTTGACAGTTCCAGGTTGAAAGAGCAATGTCATACACAGTAGTATGAAGCTCTGATCAAAAGTTACCACAAGGTGTGTTAATATTTTACATGACTCCAACAAACAGAAAAGAGAAAAGAGAAATATTACATAAGGGCGCAAAGATTCCTCTGGGATTTCTTTTTTACTTTCTGGGGCATTCAGGTGAATGTAGTTGTTCATTCGTTTAAAAAATATATCTCGGGCGGTCTCGAAATTTAAGAATTGTTCTTAAGTGAAAGAAAGAAATTTAAATGTAAATGTAGTTTGGAAAAACATTTACTAACCACATTCGTTCTTATTCTTCCAGGCTTTCACCGTTTTTGTCACACATTTCCTTGAGCTGACCAATTTGGATGTCTTGTATCCTAACGTGGAGAAGTAAGATTTTGGTGATTTAGATATTTGTGTCTGATGTTCACAACCAGTGCGTTCTGTTTTATCCTCCCATTGTGATTATCAGTCTTAAACAATTGAGCCCAGTAGCATTTATTGATGCGTTTACTCATTTAAGATATATTTTTATCATTTTGATATCGCAGCTCCTTAAATTGTATTCAGCCTACAAATCTGCCATTTCGGCCCTAGCATCACCAGTGAGTCCAAGAAGGACGAAACATCTGTGTGGTGCTCGCATTAAGTGTAATTCATTTTCGGCATGCTGTATCTATTGCCAGATTTTAAAGGTTCGGTCCCATGTGTGTGTCTTAGATTCGTCTTTCAAATGGTTTCTTATGAAATATTTCCATGTATTGACTTCCACTCTTTTATTTCTGTGGTGTAAATCAAATTTTTTTTTAACTTGCAGCTATTGTTTTGATGTCCAGAGGTCGGTATGTACTCAGAGCGCTGAGGAGAAAATAATTTTCACACACACACTTCAAAAAGGAAAGACTGAGGAGAGGCATTATGGTAAGTTGTAGTGTAAAGTTTAAAAATATTCAAAGTTTGTGGAAAGACATATTTAATTATTTTCGTTCTGGTCGGGACGATTAAAGCAAATTATATTAAGTTAGTTATTGGGAAATATTGGAGTCCATAAAATGAGGGAGCTAGAGATCAATTAGGGAGCTAGAGATCAATTAGGGAGCTAGACATCAACATAACTTGCATTGTATAAGGTCCAATTCCTATTGGCCATAACCCCGGATCGAAAATTAGGGGGTTTAAAGGATCTATAATCCCTCTGATGTTTTGTATATATAAGCTAACCTCCCATAAATTTCGTTTCTGATGTAAATGTAGCACGGTTGGGCCATGACATTGGCCCGGTAGCTCAATTGGTAAGAGCGACAGTATAAAATTCTGAGTACCAGGGTTTAAAACACGGTCTAGCACCCCTGCATTTTTACAGTCAGAACACTGACGTTGATTTATATCACTTGTATTTCCTGCAGCGTACGGTTTTCTTTTCAGGAATGATTTATCGAAGCTATAGCCATGCTTGAAAAACAGTTTCTGATGCATAGTTACGAATTTTGCTAGTGGTACTAGCATCCTTAAACTCGTATATCATAATAGTGACATCAATTTCCTTTGTTTTGAAGTCGACATGAACACGGAAAAGAGTGCTCAAATGTGAATGTGTCTGTGTTACGATTTGTGTTTATAGGTGACTGTTAAAAAGCTGACTTATTTTATTAAAGCTATGTGTCCTAGCTGTGTATTCGTGTTTGTGTACACAATTAAAGATAATGATATTATGGTATGTGGTCATTTGGAAATAGTGGTCCGGAATCGTCCTTCTGATTATATGGGAAATCTAAAGCATTCCCTAATCTTCTTTCAAAGGTTTATGGTCGGATATGTTTTTAATATCTTTGTATAGACAGTAATATTTCATGTTTCCCAATTGAATATGTGTCAAATGAATGAAATAAAATGATAACGCCCATTATATTGAGAAGTGTAAACACCATGTTTAGTCTTCAGGATTGTTTGAACATATGAGGCCAATGGGAATTTACATTAGTTAATGATAGACTTTCAAATTGTATAGCCTCCACAAATTCTAAGGTCTCGCAAGTAAACATTCACACTATGCTCATTGCAAATAGTAGCCAAATGTAATTTCATTTTCAAAGAGCTTAAATGGTCAACAAATCTAGCTTAACGATTGAAACAAATTAGGACTCCTATTTTTGCAACCCGGAGATTTTGTTTCAAGGGAGAACCTTTTTAGGTGGCCTGTAGATGATATTAAACAACAGAAATCATCATGTAGAAATGCTTTTTGTACTGTTATTATTTTGGAAGTTTCAGAGTAAAACATATATAACATATATTTCTAGGAATGGAGTTGGCAAAAATGTCGAGCCTTCCAAGAGATATAATTGAAAAGGCAGCTACATGTGCTTTAAAGATATCGAGAGCAAAACATGTAAGTAATACCATTATAGCAATTAATAGGGAAATGTTTTTCCGTGTATTATGAAAAGTTCTTTTTACACAACCAATACAATTTTCTATGTAACGGTTCGATGACTAGTACGATATGTACACTGTCGCCTTCATCATACAAATGGCAAGTGAAGCGTATGCACACAAAGGTGTAAAATGTGTACGAGTTGTCCACAAAATCGATGTTGATTCGGCTACGCTTTAAGCGTATTTGTTATATATGTACCGAAATGACCCGATTCAGCTACGCTTTGTTTAATACTTGGCCAAAGATGTGCGAAAGTCTTTGAGCCCCCTAATCTCGATTTATAACTGGCCTACTTCGGCGTATCCAGATGGCTTCCTTTATCTGCCGCTTGAACAGATTGCTCTTTCTGTCCAAAATTTTGGAGTTATTCCAGTCAATCACATGATTTTTCTGTTTACCATGGTCTGTGATTGCCAACTTATTTATCTGGGACTCCGTCTGCTTCCTTTCTGATCTTGTTAATTTCCTACTTTCTAGGGTGTCCGCATCTTTCCGATATTCACCAAGGCGGACCCCAAATCGCTTCTAGTCTCTCCAATATACGATGCGTTGCAGTATTTCCATCCGATTTTGTATACGCATTCTGCGACGTTTTCTTTAGGTTTTGTATCCTAAGGTTGTACAGGGATATTGCGAAGCGTCTTGTGGGGCCTCGTGGATGTTTCTATGCCATGACCGCGATATATCCTCTAGATGGTTTCGAATATACCCTTTATATACGGGATGACCACTTGACCTTCGGTTTTGTTCTTATCTTTGTTCGTGTGAAAATAGTAAAGAGCCACGAACTTTTTTTATTTGTTTGTGTTTGTACCTGCTAGTATGTTGCGTTCATTTTTCATCAATCATGCCCTTATGAAGTTATTTTTCATTATACCAATCCCTTTCGCTATATTTCGTAAAAAGCTGCACGATGTTTTCAGATGTACTTTAAAAAATGAGTTACAATCCTGGTGATTGAGATGTTGTTCAGAAAATTGTTTTAAGTACTAGCGATAAAGAATAAGTTCCAGAAGTTTAAAACAAACTTGTATGTAATAGTTGATTACCTACTTTAGTTTGCAGACGGAAATACTTCTGAAAGCAGCAAACAACGGGCTGTGTTTAAACTTGCCACAAGGCTTGTGCAAACTGCCAGAAATTCGAGATTGGATTCTGACGGCCTTAAGATTTATCTTCATGGCATGAAAAGTCAATACGAAAAAGAAACAGGGCGATAACTCCGTTGAAGGGTTGTACCTGTCTGGCTGTTTCAGTGTGACGCTGTACCTACCTGTCTACTTCATTGTAAAGTTGTACCTGCCAAGTGCGATGTTGTAGCTGCAAGACAATTATTCCATCGCAGAAATCTATGTCACTAATTCTAATATATTACTGTAAATATTATATATGGTTTATGACCGTAAAGTTTGACAACAATGAGTTTTTTTCAAAATCACATTGCGACTTCATATAAATGCGACGTCAGTTGCTTAGTTTTAATATTGCAGCTAAATAAATTGTTGATGTCGGTTGTTTTGCTAATGTGCCTAGGATTACTCAGAACTTAAGGTGTAACACTTATTAGCAGTATCAAAGCGCGTTTCATTGTGACGTTGAAATCTTTTGCCATGTTACAAAAATACGCTAATATGAAATACGAGTTCTTTGTAAAAAAAAAAAAAAAAAAAAAAAAAAAAAAAAAAAAAAATTTAAGGTGTCTGGATGACATTATTCAATATTTTTAGACCGACTTCCCACTAAAATCAACTGCATTTATTGCAAAAGTCTTCCTCAATTAAGACATCCCTGCCATAATTATTATAAACTGTGTAACTTGACCGCAGATTAGTTTAAGCAAAATATCATGGATGCTGGTTTTACTGCATTTCAAATTGTGTTGAATGCCAAAAAAATGGATAAAACCATGTTAATTTCAAACGACTTACTGTTATCGATTGTTTGGTGATGTTTTTTGGGTTATAATGTCTTTGATTCTTTTGTGCAGGTGAGATGTATATTTAACGATGCAATTTTTTTCTTTAAATTGAAACAAAAACCCTTGAAAAGACCGGTATTTACTCTAATATTGGTGATTACGCCCCCCCCCCCCCCCCCCCCCTCTTAGAAAGAAGATGTACATATTGTATAAGTACTTGTTCTTTTCCTTCTGTCTTCATTTTCTTGTTCAAGTAATATTTTTGGCTTTGCCCTAATTATTGAGTCAGATGGGTGAGAACATTCTGTTTTGAAGCAAGTGTGCGAAAAATGTGTTTCTTAAAATGTACGAAAATGCCCGTAGAAAGGTGAAAATAGACTGTTTGCTCGAAGATCAATGCCTATATATACTGTATGCTTTGTCACCGATATGTATTACTACACAAAAAACAGACGTTAATTAACTTTTGATGGTTTAAAAAAAATGCCTTGTTAATTTTTTTAAATGTCCTTCTCCTTATTGTGGCACACACATTTTCATACGGTAATAAATGACCTTGTAATAACAGTTCAGTCTTAATTTTATTTGAACGGCATTCAACAACGCAAAAGTCTCTGATGATGTCTTTAGTGAAGTCGTTGCGTCTCTCGACCGATATATTAAACATGATTAAAGCCATTTGGTTTTTATCGACAACCACATGCTGTAACCCGTTTGATTTTTATCGACAACCACATGCTGTAACCCTTTGATTTTTATCGACAACCACATGATGTAACCCTTACGGCCTCTAGTCGCATGAGCGTGTGACTTCCATCATCTTCGGTATTATATACGGAGAGCGGAGCCATTGCCGTGGGTGTGCAGCACGGCTCTGGTGGCATGCCGGTTGCTGAGGAGTGGCCATAGTAAGTACGATACAAATCTACGATGACCGATTGAAATGTGAAATGTAAGCTCGGATGGCTGGATAATGGCGATGGACACCCACCAGAACAAAAGTTTGCCTGGACCGTTAAAGGAGCCAGCACGTGGTACCAGCCAATATCCGCGAACGCTACTGACCATGGGTGTACATGACATATGTTTGACTCGACAATTTCAACTGTCGATTCACCCGGAACTTGTGTGTCTTGAATGGGCGTTTCTGTTATCTCGTCATTTCCGGATCTTTTTATCCTGGTTTGATATTTTTCTCTTTCACTGAGCTTATCAAGAACATCCATATACGGAGTAGAAAACTCGTGCCAAACATTCAAATTCACATTCAATTGAATGACGAGGGCAATCGAGAATTTTCCAAAGCCTGTGCACTGTAAAAAGTTTTCTCTGTTTTTCACACAGACCTGAATTTTTATTGTGCTCTGACCTTTCCGAAGATGATGTCGTAAGTGGCGTGTCACATTTAATGCGTGGCCTTCGACACTCCACTTTGCAATTTTCCAATCTGAAATCGATTTAAATTTTATTTTAAGAATATTAAAAAGAATGTTAATATTGCTACTATTGTTATTAAACTGACTTTTTAGGACCAAGTGCGACTTCGCTAGCTCAATACCATAGTCATTAGCTGATTAAAGGACCAAATAATCGCTCTAAATTTAATACAGCCTGCGTTTTTCTTGATTTGTGACAAATTAATAAACCAACACTTATGTAAATAAATTGATGCCAAGCTATATACAATTGCAACACACACAAAAATTCTCCGTATGTACTGTATAACATGAAATGTTCGTGTGTACTTTCGTGGTTTAGAGCTTTCAAGTTTTTTCGTGGGTACAAACTTTCGTGGTTAGCCCGTGCGAAATGTATTAATTTTCGTTGTTAGCCACGTACAACGAAATCTATCCACCTTTCAGAGAAGCATTGGTCTAACACTGAAACACATTTGCGGTATGTTTTAAAATGCCAAAGAGTCGCACTCATCATACTTCTGTTCATGTCAAGCAATTAAAATAATTATCACAGAGATATAGTGAATATTACTACAGTGAGAGTACTAGTGTTGACATCATGCTAAGAAAACACTGACCTGATCTCGCGACGCCCTTTATAATAATAATAATAAAAGACTTTATTTCAAGTCGATAACACTTTGAGTCAAAGACTCTTATAACAGGTGGTCGCCAGTAAAATGTACAATATTTACAACAAAATAGGCCTACCGATTCACTTGATTGGTCAAATACGTAATTAATCAATAACAAATGATATTTATACAACAGATTTGTAACACATGTCAATTTAAGTAAAAACGTTCCTTCATTTTAAAATAAATTGTTCAAGTATCTTAAAATATTCGTCTGTGAATCGCTGTGTCAGTATATCACACGAAATGTGAGATCGGTATATAAACTAGAATAGGAACACGGTTTGATGGAATCCGGAAATGTAAAGCCGCGAAAATGCGTACATTTGAGAACTACAATTACTTCAAGTTCATATAATTTTCACATTTACGTTGTGTTCATTTTATCGAGTAGTAAAAATAATTGTTATAGTTATATTTGTGGTTCCATAGCAACCACAAAAACAACGAAAGTTTATACACAACGAACATTTCATGTAATACAATATACAGATATGACAAAACAGAGTTAGCACTACTTATAATTATTAACGAGTGAACGTATTGCAATTAAACTACATGCTTTATGAGCTTCCTAGCTAATTTTCCTTATTTTTGCTGTACAACTTTATAATATTCAATATAAGATGCAACAAAGTGGAAAATTATACAATATTGGTATTTTTCCTTATTAGTATAACTGAGAGTCTTTTGGTTTTTGACACTCCAAAACGTGAAAAAAAATGGAAGCAAGATCCCATTTTTTGTAGCTGTTTTAGGGAGAGTAGCGTATTTTCTTTTGGTCCATTAATGAGAAAAAAAAGCTGATTTCTTTATATCAAGCGTTAAATCTGGTAGCAAATACTCAGGGTAGGAGTAACCTAAATCGCTTTTCTTAGATAAATGAATATTTTTTAAGAAGGTTCTTTCCATAATTTAGAAGAAAACACTACTTTCATCAATTCTGCATACATGAATACATTTCTGATAACACACTTGGAAGATATTGTAGGAATTTGTTCTGCATACGGTCAAAACAAAATAACCAAAAACCACATGTTAAATTGGTATCTAGCACAAAAACGAACACACGGACATAAACTTCTTTTTGCATTTCTTACTATACCATTACTCCTCCTTGTTTCGAAAATTCATATTAGAAATAAACTGAAAACGGGAATTTTCTCACAGGAGTACACCCTTCATTGATTAGAATTTTCCAAAGATGCTGTGAAAAAAAACAGGTGGAGACAACTCCTATTATTGTATGAATCGTAATACATGTACTGTATACTTTCTTCACAATAGGAAAAATAGCATTTAAAAAGCTACATGCATAATATTAACACTGGGAGGAATTGAAATACTAAATAATGAATGTAACGTGGAAATATTAATTGCTGCTGTGCAAAGGTTTGTTTATAGCAAAAGGTTTTATTAAGGTAGTATTACGCTGTGTATGTTTACTTAAATTGACAGTTTTACACTACCACCATTTAGTCTTTTAGAGTGATCGGATGTGTGAAAGAGGGCGAGAGGCGATATGTGATGCTTTGATGTTCGTACTCCTATATCTGCAAAATATTGTTCACTAATCATCTTTAAAAAAAAAAAAGTCTGAAAATGTTACATATGTATGGACCTAGTAATTCTACTTGGAAAGGAGCGCAGTATAACCTTATGACTTGTTTCTCTTCCCTATGATAATTTCAAATTTCAAAAAGTATGATGAATTAACTGAATAGTTCAGACTAAATAGACATGTAACACTTACGGTGGTATCGACGAGTATGAGGTCCTGTCTGAAACGACACCCTTACTCGTTTTAAACTGTGATCATAATCCTTTATAACAATGTCAGCTCGCTGGATTTTAGAGATGTTGGCAATTCTTCTGGACACGTTGAAACTTTGTTCTCCTCTTACTGCAATGAAAAATATTAGTTAAACATCAACTAAACAAGAAGTATGGCGTAGTAATTTGTCATGATTTCCTTTGCCTTAGGTTTCATACTTTTTCATAGTTTTGACTGTCCAACATTGAGGTAACGCGTAATTCAATTTCGTATTGTTATTATAATCTTGATATCTCAAAGTGAGGTTATTTTGGGGAAAGGTCATTACTTTGATGTCTGCGTGTGCTGTACATTCTTTAGGTATCTCATCGCCTTCTGGCAAATTAATATCTTTTGTTCTTCATGTTCCTCCAAAGCAGCTATGAGATGTTAACTCTTTAACTAACAAACATGCAGCAAAGCTCTGTTTACAAAATCATAGCATTAAGACATGGGTTTTGGCGTAAATGGCTCACCCAAAAAACTGGGCCGCCGAATGTATCAAATTATTTGTTTTGTTTTCTTCTTTTGATTATTTTTTGAAAAGATTTCTCTTTCTTGTTTTCTTTTAAATTTTATATTCGAAATGAAATACCTTTTTGTAAAGGTGCGGCCAATTAAAACCGCCGCAAAATAAAAAATAAAACCGTCTAACGAAAGAAGCAGACTCGAAAATCACCAAAGATAGATCAGAATATGCTGGAGAGCAGGCTACCCAACCCTAACTTCCCTATATAGGAAGGGGGATGTAGGTTTTCCTAGGCTCTGACCAGCTGGCAGTGTTGTCTCGACTCTGATCGTGCCCCTAGTTCCATATATTATTTAACAAAATATATAAAAGCCCACAGCTTTTGCCATTAATAGGGAAATCTCCCTAATCACAATGCCTTAGATCATAAAAACAAACTCTTGGTGTATGGCGTCTGATTCTCGATACATAATATTTATCACAAATTGTTCAGTATATATTAAATAAACTTGATGAAGTTGAAATTTGAACATGAATATATACTGACTATTAAAATTACTGGAAAGTATGACATAGATAACATGAAAACTGACAAGTACATGTGATAATATGAACATTGACTGGTAAAACTTAGATAATGACTAAAACATGGAAAATTTCAACAATCCTTGGCCCCTTCTAACTTAATGCTGTATATAAGACACTCTTCTTGAGCCAGTGAAAAGATACATAATTATTAACTTCTCTTACTTATGATAAAACTTAAACATAATGCAATTTACAACCTACAGTAATGGTTAGCATTCAAAACTTGCTCCTGTGCTGAATAAGGGGAGGAGGGTGGGTTTTTATGAAGATTTTGAAGTCTTTTCAAAAATAGAGTTTCCTTTTCTTCGTTTTTGAGCCTTTGACCTTTCAACCAATGGGAATCCCCCTTTTTAGCTCACCTGGCACGTCGTGGCGCGGCGTCCGTCGTCCGTCGTCCGGTGTCAATATTTTACTTTAAATGACTTCTTCTTAATAACCGAAAGGCCTAGGGTGTCGATATTTGGTCAGAAGCAAACTGGGATAAAGGGCTACAAAGTCTGTTAAAATTAATGACCTTCACCCATTTTCAAGGTCACAGGGGTTAAATACGTTAAAAACTTTAAACATCTTCTTGATAACCAAGATATGTGAAAAACTTTAAACATCTTCTTCTTGATAACCAAACTGCCCAGGGAGATGATATTTGGCCAGTAGCATGCTTGGGTGAAGAGCTACTAAGCTTGTTCAAATGAATGACCTTCAGTTATATTCAAGGTCACAGGGGTCAAATATGTTAAAAACTTTAAACATCTTCTTGATAACCAAGATATGTGAAAAACTTTAAACATCTTCTTGATAACCAAGATATGTGAAAAACTTTAAACATCTTCTTGATAACCAAGATATGTGAAAAACTTTAAACATCTTCTTCTTGATAACGAAACTGCCCAGGGAGATGATATTTGGCCAGTAGCATGCTTGGGTGAAGATCTACTAAGCTTGTTCAAATGAATGACCTTCACCGATATTCAAGGTCAAAGGGGTCAAATATGTGAAAAACTTTAAACAACTTCCTCTGAATAACCAAAATGCCCAGGTTGATGATATTTGTCCAGTAGCATGCTTGGGTGAAGATCTACTAAGCTTGTTCAAATGAATGACCTTCACCCATATCCAAGGTCACAGGGGTCAAATAGGTTAAAAACTTTTAATCAACTTCTTCTGAATAACCAAAATGCCCAGGGTGATGATATTTGGCCAGTAGCATGCTTGGGTGAAGATCTACTAAGCTTGTTCAAATGAATGACCTTCACCGATATTCAAGGTCAAAGGGGTCAAATATGTGAAAAACTTTAAACAACTTCCTCTGAATAACCAAAATGCCCAGGTTGATGATATTTGTCCAGTAGCATGCTTGGGTGAAGATCTACTAAGCTTGTTCAAATGAATGACCTTCAGTTATAGTCAAGGTCACAGGGGTCAATTGTCTTAAAAAAACCTTTAAACAACTTCTTCTCAATAACCAAAATGCCCAGGGTGATAATATTTCGCCAGTAGCATGCTGCGATAAAGGGCTACAAAGTTTGTTAAAATTAATGACCTTCACCCATTTTCAAGGTCACAGGGGTTAAATACGTTAAAAACTTTAAACATCTTCTTGATAACCAAGATATGTGAAAAACTTTAAACATCTTCTTGATAACCAAGATATGTGAAAAACTTTAAACAACTTCCTCTGAATAACCAAAATGCCCAGGTTGATGATATTTGTCCAGTAGCACGCTGAGATAAAGGGCTACAAAGTTTGTTAAAATTAATGACCTTCACCCATTTTCAAGGTCACAGGGGTCAAATTTGTTTAAAATCTTTAAACGACCTCTTCTGAATAACCATGGGTCCCAGGATGTTGATACTTTGCAAGTTGCATCCTGAGAGGTGGCTATAAAATTTGTTCAACATAATGACTTTGTTCGACTTTCAATCACAGGGGTGAAATGTTTTAAAAAAAATAACAGGGTCTTTTGAATGAATTTTAATCATAAATACTGATATTTTGCCTGTAGCTTTATTTTAGGTCACTTTTAAGGTTACAAGTGTGTGATTTATACCAGGTGAGCGATGCAGGCCCATTGGGCCTCTTGTTCTCTGCAGCAGGGGCCCACAGGGGGAACCCAACTGTGGGGTCCCCAAAGGAATATTATTAAATGAAAACATTTTGTTGTCCAGAAAATTGTATATAACTATACTTTTAATTTTTGTCTTTGAATAAATATTTGAATATAGGATTTTACACTATACTTCGTCGTGTAACGTGCAAATGAGTCAGATTACAATTTCGGGTTTTGTAATAACTATTAGATGGGATTAAACGTATTGCCAAATTTGATCTTTTATATAAATTCAACTGATAACTTTGATATGATATATGATATAAAACATTTGATATGTCTGATATCTTGCCATAGCTTAAATTCTACAAATTTGTCCATAAGGAGTGGCATTTTTATGATATGGCATTTTCATTTTCATTTTAAAATGACACTTTTTTCATGGTAAACCAACCGACCAGAGGACAATATAGACTGTAAAAAGGGTCTTTTTTACAAGTTTCCTCGTGTAAATATTTTAACAATTTAACACTTTTTTGAAGCTGCAATATATAACCAGGCCCTTTGTCTTTTAAAACATTTAAACAAAATCGATATGTTCATGTGTAAAATCTTTTTAAAACTGAGCACTCGAAATAATTTACCTCCAGAACATAATAACCGTTGTCTCCATTTCACCCATTTCATACATACCCCTTTTTAGTAATGAAATTTTTTGCGTAACCAGATGTTGATACTGCGGGTGAAGTTCAGTCCCCCAGGTAAGCCATGAAATACTTGTTTAAGAATAAATTATCATGATCAGTTTAAACGAAAAATTGTCAATTTGCAACGTGATAATGGGTTTTAGAGTCAACTTTCTTATTTGCTGTATTTCCACACCTTAAGATAAAGGTTTCTATTATAATGCGAGATTTGATCACATGGTGCAGTAAAGAGATTTACTTTCGGTTGACTTTCTGCATCGATTTACTAATTATTTTAATTCTTGTTTTCTATGAAATTTGTTTGGTTATAGTTTAGATTCACATTTCCTTTTTCCAAAATTACACATGTACATGACTTACCGACTCACTAGAGCATTAAATTTTTCAGTTGTAGTAGTAAGTAGCACAGGGGCATGGATCGCTTTACTTGTAATATTAAAAAATAGGGGTCCCCTATTTTTTAATAGTACAAGTAAAGCGATCCATGCCCCTGTGGTAAGTAGTGGAATGCTCCGTATTTCGATACAGAGCAAACAGGCCTTTTGCGATTCAATCTACATGTTTTTTCTTAGCCCTCGAAAAACTGCCATTATAATAGAAGAGCATCCTGATTTAAGGAAGGAGTCCTGTCTTATCAGTGAATAAAGAGAGGGAAAAAGCGCTTTAGCCATTTTGAAAATATAAAGCAACTTTAATTTTTCGCAAGTCAAAATTCGCATTTCAATTTTGTCAATATGTTTTTTCAAACCTCTCTGTAACTTTCATTTGTCGAATTTAAATTGATATATTATTATCATATAAAAGCAGAATAATTTCTAAAAAAATAAATAAAAGATGAATACACTCGAAACAAATAACTTTTAAGACAAGTTTGATTATTGAAAGAGTGTGGTAGTGATATCCAAGTTCCTAAGGAAATGCGCAAACATTAGCGATAATAGGATGAAATTTCTTCTTGATTACCACGATACTGTACCAGAAGAAATCAGCAATATCTTGCCAATTTCTTGCACACATCAGCTCATCATGCTTAGTCGGTTGTTTTTTTTTATCGCATTTGCTAATTATTAACCCGTCATTTTACCGTTTACTATATCATTGAACGCCAACTCATCATGAACTTGAACCACTCCTAATATAAAAAAAGATCCTAGGTTTTTGAATTTCGATCTTTTACTTATTTAATTGTTTTATATATTTATGATTTTTGAAAAAACTTTTCGGATATGATTTTTGACATTTTCTGGTGGCTCCACACTTTCGCAATTAACCAGCAAAATTCGTTGAAACTTTCATATAATTGTTATGCAACTATGTCGAGTTATGAATTATGAAAATCTAAACATTCCGATAGTTTGGGGAATTTTTTGGAAAAAATACCAAAAAATTGAATTTTCGTCAATTCTAATATTTTCCGGGTTTTTTTGTGTGTGGCATTGTTCGGAACAATAACAACAATAATAAAATGAAAAGAAGCATTTCTAATTAACCCTACAAATATTTTATTTATCGCAAAATATGTAACACATGTTACACAAAGTGTTTTTTATTGAATTTGTACGGATAAAAGTGATTATCTACAAGCTAAAAGCACCCAGGACACAAAGTTCTATACATATAGAGTGGGAAATTGAACAAAATATACACAATGGCTTTATAATTAATTTATTTTACATTTTACAATCACTTTGATCCGGGTGAGAGTTATCTTCCTTGAAAAAAATCGGAACTTTTTGCAGAGGGGTGACATTTACACAATGACAGTTGTCTCTGTTTACATATAACAAAAATGATGGAAATAAATCAAAAATATGATATCAAAATTATCAATTTATTGTTCTTTAATGGAACCAAATTACCCTCAGTCATGTACACTTTGGACATCATTCCACAGTCCGCTAACTCACGGTATATTTATAATTACATGTCAGACCAGAGGCTATCGCATGGTATACCGTTCTCACGTGCACTCACACATGCATTTCATAGGTATCTTGATATTTTACAAAACATTATTTTCACAGAGTAAGCTAGTAGACTACATTTGTAAACACGATTTAATCGACAGAGCGAAACTCCCTCAACAGCGAAAATCGTAACGACCTCGAGCTTATGAACTCGTGTAAACACGCGATATGCACATGTGAGGTTGGTACGTCCGCATTCCATGTGTTTCCTATATGACCTTCTTGAGGTCGTCTGGTCTCATGTCACTGTCTTCCCGTGAGTCTGTTTATGTCTATGAATTGGAAAGCTTTATTCCTGAAGTACGTGTGAGTATACATTTCCCGGTAAAATCTTGATATCGGGTGTTGACATATCATCGGCACGCACGTGTACTATTGTTTACCATGGGCCTGTTCGTTTATGCGGAACAACCGGTTTGACCGTTTATAAATGTAACAATTTCGGGTGTAAATCCTGGCGGACCTGCAAATGTGTATGCAGGCCTTGCAAGGCTTTCTCAAGACTCGCCTGAAAGCAGCATCAGATTACTAGGTCCGACCTTATTTAATAAACGAACAACAGTGGTCCGATCGGTTTGACCGTTTAAACGAAAACGGCCCAGCAGGTGTTACTATAATTTGCACTACGATATTGAATGCCCGATACGCAATACGGAAATGACGACACGGTGTACATGCACATTTCGATTAAGATAATTGAGTCCTAGCTGTACTTTTTCCAGAAGTATGTCACGAAAATGGACGCTGATGACGATGTGTCGAGCCACCTTAAATGCCTCCTGCTAATACAACCGTTTTATAATATATAACATAATAAACAGTGTTCTGTCGTAGCATTCTGAGGAGAAAATATTTTCTCTTTTTTGGGGGGATTAAAAGATTTATGTTTCGGGTACCCCGACCGACCCCACCTTTCACTTCCAAACCTAGCAATTTTATTTCACTCGAATGCACTTAAACGTCCTATTTGAACATGCCAAAATTCGAAGGCGTCTTTATGCCACCGGGCAGGTATCAAAATCAAATTCAATCAAATATTGTTATTTAAAAGATATAATGAAAACTTAAACGATAAGTAATGTCAATAAGTAAAAATAAAAAATTAAAACCCTTCTTTTTCAGTCATGTATCCTGAAACACGCAGGTTGTATTTATTGGCATTTCTTGCATTAAAAACACATTAAGCTGCATTTCCGTAACTGGGATTGCATAAAATAATTCTGTTATTGTATTTTTCTTTATGCTTACTTGGATTTAAAATGTAAACAAAGTCATTTTTTCAATGTCAACAAAGGTGTACTTGCCTTGTTTTGAGTAGAATATTTTGACTTGTTCATAGTTGTCCGTGTTAGAGTCCAGTTTGTACACGGCCTGTCGGCGGTAAGAGGGATCATTGTCAGTATCCGTGAGCTGCAGAAACCTCCGTAACGTAATTGCAGGAATAAAGTCTTTATGCTCTGGCGTATACCGCATATTGCGGTATAGGGATTTCAACAGTTCATCCTGGCGAACGCGAGTAAAACAGACAAATAGAAGTGTGATGTAGAAGAGACTGTAGTAGCAAAACAGACGATACTTCACATTCACGCAACCTTCCTTCATTATTGATATGGTCTAACGTTGATGTAAAGATAGCATAGCGAACGAAAGCGGGCACATATTTGAACTACTTAACGCGGATGGCAGATATTTTTTCACCGGAAGATATTAACATACCAAGAAATTATAGGCACTGCACACAGGTAGGCGTTACTTTGCTCTGTTAGAGGAAATGAATGAAGACCAAATATTAATTTGATGGATTGCGCTCCCGCTGTAAGTGCCAGTGTTTCTCGGTCATTTTTCACTTTCATATTTACTTGTTTTTGTTGCACACTGACCGAAAAACACGTGTGAAGGGTAAACATCGAACTGCGCAAATATTACTTTGATTAATAACGCGCATCAACCGAGCTTGTCAGCTTGGTTATACGTAGCTTCTTTTTTGTTAGTTTAGATGGCAAGTGCCACTTATGGGAGAACTCCCACCAAACCTGCCTTTCTTCAAGAAAAAATATGTTTTTAACATTTATTTCTGGAATATCGTCCATGACATTCTCTGGATTCCCAACTATGGATATCATAATACGTAGAACTGTGTCAAGTGTCACTTCTTGGAACATTCCCACCAAACCTGCCTTTCTTCAAGAAAAATAAAGTTTTCACGTTTATTTCTGGAATATCTTCCGTGGGTATTATAATACGGAGTACTGATATTTCATAAACCCCAAAATCTTCCGTTTTTTGTCGGTGGTTTTCGACAGTGATTTCCCTTGTCTGTTTTCAGTGTAGTCTTACCGCCATTTTATTTGACCAGCTACTTAATCCTTGCACTTCTAATCTCCATATCAGGTACGCTTTTAAAAGTTCTATTGAAGGAAACTTAAAATCGATTAATCTTAGACAAAGGTGAACAATTTCAAAGTTAGTTTGTACACAAGTTTCGTACACGTGACCATGACCAATTCAAGTACGTATACACATGTAGAGTTGTGTTGGAACCGGAAATGTCACAAATCTTACTACCAAGTAAGGCAGTGGGTCTATTTTACATATAATGCAAGGTTTGCACTTGATGTTAACCATTGAGTTTATTTACGAGTCTAAAAATCCTTTGTCTGTATGTGAACATTTCTTTTGACTTTTCAGAGATTTCTGTACCAATAAAACGGTCCAGTAATTAAAAATGGTGTACACTATCGTTTCCTTAGCTGTGCCAGTGGGAAAAGGGAGTGTTGAGGAGAAGCTGTAGTAAAGGATGGGCTCCTGGGATATCATCAAAAATGTATCATAACGAGATGAGACAACGGTAGCAATACTTGCGGATACACTCGGAGCATGTCAAATAAACACTTATGTAGTGCCAGTTATCGGATAAAATCACTCAAACATATCCGAAATAAGATTCATCAGTTTGGTATGAATAATAAAGGCTAGTTATTAAGACTGCCATTGGACGAAATGTTTCTATCGAGACACCGGTGATTTACACTCTTTCGAAAGCTCGCAAAATAAGTTTTTGATTCCTGTCTGTCAAAACAAGTTAACAAACCTGTTTACCATCTCCAAGCAGGATTATCCAATGAGTCGGGAGTGATGAAACCTGAGGGGATTTATGGAGTAAGTGTTATTTCTGTAGAATATATTGGGCTGTATAGCCTTTATTTCTGAAGTAAGAGTAAGAAGACCCCAAGGACTCGTAAACTACGCTACAATTAATGGAAACTGTTAAATAATACACACAAACAAAATTGATTGATCGCGAGTAATCAGTGAAGCACATTCCAGCTAAGGATAAAAACTCCCTTAAATTAGTTTTTTTTTTGCGAATGACGTATTATTTAAAGTAAACAAGCTAACATAGTTAGGCATGTGTGCATTGAAGTATTATCATTATCACAGAGAGGCCACGTCTATAAGAATGTCTGCTACGTACGTAGAAACGCCTCCCATTAGTCACGGTGTTGGCACGACTCTTCTGTTACAACGGAGTTTGTATGTAAGCATTAATTATAAAAAAAAGTTAAGTAATTGTTACTGAGTAGGATAAATTGATACTATAGTGCAATTATAAGTAAAAGTACGTATTGGTGGGTAACTTATCAAAGCATACTCGTTTACTCGAAAAATGTTCTATAGAAGTAAAACGTCTTATACGATGCCATTTCAAATTATCTCTTTTTTGTGCGCATCCGGTTTGTTTCTTTCATATACTTTCTTCATGTGTGTGTTGTATATAAATGTTACTGGGTGTTTAGTATGTATCTATGTTAGTACGTGATATATATCTGCATATCCCCGAAACCTACGTACGGCTACATATTTACGTTCTCCGTCACAAAGTTATTGTATATAATGATTTACATGTGTGAATGTGATGTTACAAACTTAAGGTATGTCAAACGGTTGACCTTTTTAAACATCGATTAATTAAGTACAAAATGAAATATTACCTTGAGTGAATAGTACAGATGGAACATGACAGTCGTGACGTCATTGGCATCAGGTTTTTTGAAACATGAGCTTGTCCTAATTATCAGGGACCACGGCGGGGACCGTATTGATTCCCCAAATTTAAAACTAAGACATTTGATGGTACGTATATCCTATTTATCACATAATCGGCCTGTTATCCAGTGAATTCGCCCGTGTAATATTTTCACATATGTCACTAGTGTAATATACTCTGGAGCGTTTTTCATTGGCTGTGTCAGTCAAAAATCGATTGTGTCGTCATAATATGGACAATGACGTGACGTTATAAATTGTGAATGGCGCAACAAAATGTCCGTCTCCGTTTGATTAAACCCTCTACATTTTTTGCTTTAAAACCTGTCAAAATGTCAGTTTTCTGAGTTATGTGATAAACAGTATCTTAAATTTGTTTTCATTTCATATGAGCTTTTATGAAAATATTCTCGAAGTTTTAATTTTTGCTCGCAAAGGCTCGCAAAAAAAACACCTCCCAAGATTCGTTTCATAAATTCTCATATGAAATGAAAAAATCAGTTAAGATCCTATACATGAATCACTACCAGAAACGGCTATATCAATATCAGGTGCACAAGTACATTGTGTACAAATCAGGTAAATGAGGTTTTAAAGAACGTCACAGAAATTGTATCATTTTCTGCTTCCCATTGTTACATATCAATTCATAGTTTGTAGTTGAAACCTTAAGTGAAGTTCTAAAACATAGAAAACAACAAAGAGATATCTTCTTCTGAACACTAAATATTTTATTCATACAATATATGACATAAAATTCTCATAATGCATTTCTAATCTGTTGGAAACCTTGCAAATAAAAAATGGCTTATACCACACCAACCTCACAAAATAAAGAAATTTTGTACGGTTTTGAATGCATATACATTGTATATGATTTACTTTACAAAACTTATCCCAAACTCACACTTAACGGTAGAAAGCAGTAATGAGTGCCCTATAATAATCTCGTAAACTGAATTAAGTTATAAGGTATGAGGAACAAGTCATATATAGTTCTGTCAGCTTTATCTGATACTAATTAAAGTAAAATCTTGATGCGATTATTTTTATAATTATTAACACTGGAAACGCATATGGATATCTTCAGATTCAATATAAAAAATAAACCCTTAGATATCATCCACAATCATTATCATATTAGAAATATTTACATAATTTAGATTAAGAGAGTTGGTTTGGGTTTGGTTTTATTTTGTATAGTATCCTATCAATAACTTAGGTCCTTTCAGGACGCGCCTCCAAGTGAGGCTGACATAACTATAGATTTGGATGATTTGATTTACATTTCTAAATAACTACCGTTACACAATGGTCAAACTCCCTATCACCGGTTAGAGCACTAAACATGCCTACACAATTATTTGCACAAGAAATGTGTGCCGTCTTTGTGTGTCCTCTCCATTTTCAATAAGAACTATATGTGTCTGTTAATACAAACCTGAGATTACCTGGTGCTGAAAACTTTGTGATATCTAGCTTATGTCCTGTATTCAAATTGATCCACAGAAATGATTTAATTCTACCCTAAACTTTATAATTTTTAGGTTTTTAATTTAATCAGATATTGGCAAGCTAACGTTAAAATTTTGAAACAACATTCAGCAATATCATAAAATGAAAACAATTTTGAATCCTTTTTTATCATCTTAATTGTCAAGAATTTAGACACATATATAGCTCAATTGTACATATAACTGAGTTATGAATATATAATAATATTCCATATAAGCAAAAATGCACTGGAAGATATACACCATACGAAATTTATATGTAATGCATAAACATATTCAAATTAAGAATATTTTCTATAGAAAACATTACCTTTTCAGAATAAGGCGTCAATTAACATGAAATAAATAAACCATGAGCTTGCTCATTAGAATTCCATGCCCCACTTTGTGGCTCACAACCCCTATAAACATGGCATAACACTAAACAAAAGATATACAGTATAAGTATACTACTACAACAATTTTCAGAGATTCCATTTCATATAACATTTATAAAAATTAATTGTTCAACAAAATAACAATATGCATCTTCAAGCATTTTGATGTTCAGCGACATTTTAACACAAAATAAGGGATTGTTACTCACAAACGTATCACACACTGGCTTATCTTAGTCTGGATGTCATTGCATGACATTAACCCTGTCACCACTGTAGACCATAATGAACCCACCCAGATCTATTTATGGTAGAGTTTATTGAAGTTACATAGGGGTGAAAGGGTTAAGTGCTGGACTTACAGAGCACCAGAAATATTGGATATTTATATCAGAAAACCAACCTGAGGTTACCACCACCACTTATTGAACACGGTATTACAGTGCTAATAACATTGATTTTTCTGTTTTATAAAATTTAGCTCTTGACACTTTATCTATAAACAAAAGATCCCAGGAGGATCTTGGTGCTGTACACAATTTTTGAATACAATCTTCATTGGTCCTATATAAGTTTGATCTTCCTCAGATCTGTTGAAACGAGTCATGTCATCAGTCAATGCATCTTATGGTAACAAAACTGTGCTGTCATGATAAAACCACCCTCATTATATTACAGAGGGTGAAAAAGATGTCAGTTCAACTGCACTGAAAATTTCCCAGGGTACTCTATTGTTTGACAGAGGGTGAAAAAGATGACGAATAAACTACACAGAAAATTTTTCGGTGTACACTATTATTTGACAGAGGGTGAAAAAGATGACAAATAAACTGCACAGAAAATTTTTCGGTGTACACTATTATTTGACAGAGGGTACGTGAAAAAGATTTAAACTGCACTGAACATTTCCCAGTGTACACTATTATTTGAACCATGCTGTTAATACTGTTTTAATGAATGTGGCTTCATTACATAACAGCGAAGTGAGATTGTTATTATCTGTACTTCCTTATAATGCAACTTGAATGATGTAACGGGAAATTTTTGATGCAGTTTAATTTCAACCTTTTTCGTCTGCCATAAAGACGGAGAATTTCTCATTACAGCAAACTTTAATATGCAACAAAATATATATGATAATTAAATGTGAGTGGTGAATTTATACTGGACGAAAAATTTCCCAGTTTACAGTAATTATATATAATCGTGGCAAGTCACTTTTCTCTAAAGAAACATGATGTTTATGAACTTGAGTGGCAAGATATTTGAAATTACAGGAGGCACAATAAGAGAACAAAGGTCAGGGGTCATGCACAACTATTTATCCATTAATTTTATGAGCGCACAAACACCACCTTTTATAAACCTCGTCCCTTTCAAAAAAAAATCAATTAATTCCTTCTGTCAACATTTTGCTGGCAGAGTTGTGCATGCATCTCCCAAAACAAAAAATAGTTAATACTTCTAGATGGCCTAGTTTCATCTTAGAAAATATCTCGGTAGCTGTCTACGTATCATTAAAAATATGAAAACCCTCTTTTGGAGCTCGGCAAAAGTACATCTGGGTGTTATCTAACAGTCAGAAGTAAAATGAAATAAAACCAAGCACTTCTCTATTTAGTACAATATGTATATATTCTTTCCCTGATATCAAGTTGAGACAAAGAATTTGTCAGAAGTTAAATTTTCCCGACATGTCCTCAGCTTATAATGTTTTCGTCTATGGTGTAAAGATTAATATGATGCTTACCATGATTTTAAACAAGAATTTTGATACATTTAAAAAACTTCATGACAGGCATAACTAGAACATGAACTTGTCAGGAAAGGCCCTGCTAAGTACATGTCGTTAACCATGAGCACCACACGCATATATATATATATATACACACCTGTCATAAATAGGTTTACAGAGAAATGCCTATCGGGGATAACAATCAAAGAAGTGTATAAACTAGCTATTGTTATCTGTAGATGTTGCGTATGTTGTACATAGTAAAACATTCTGGACGCAATTAAAGCAATATAATTCATACATATTACATTGTACAACTAACTGACAAGAATGACATTTTCCACCTTTTTGATTGCAGAATTTTCCGAATCCCATCTATTTTCCTGATTAGGAAAATAGAACAAATATTAGTTTGATACAAAATACATTGTGCAGTTACTTGAAGGGTGGTGCATGCTAGGATGGGTTAGGTAGATTGTCATTGAAATGAAATCAAAAACCTTGAACAAATCATTATTCTAATAATTTGTGATGTAACAAGGTATTTCATTGGATAATGAAAAAAGGCAAACATAAAACAATAACTTATAATTACAATAGGGACATGATGTCACAATTGATGGATGCAAAACTGGTTATTTATAGATATTCTGGATTACAAATACTAAAATCAGATCAGTCAGAAATATTGATGTGCATGTACAAGCCAAGTATTTTGTAGAAAATGATAGTAATGAACTGAAAGTAATATAGACCTGGTTACATAGCACAGACATACCAGTTCACTGCTTTTTTTTTTATCAAATTTTAATTCTCAGCATATTAGATATTTTCTTGCTTCCCTAATCCATGTAAAAGTAGATAAAAACCCTATGGTACAATCAATGTTAATAATATTGGTTGTTATAATAATACTGGTTATAATAATCAGGAGAGTAAGGATAATTGGTATAATACCAATAGCTGTACTCGTCCTGGGGACGATACTGCCATTGCCGATTTAGAAATCTCTCGCGTCCACGATAGGGGTGCATTGGCGGAATGTCTGAAATATGATCGTGTCTGTGATAGTTCATTGGGATGGCGGTAACTGGCATGTCTGAAATATGATCATAACAAACGTGTCACATCAGTGTCAGGTAGGTGTTTGATTAGCTGCTAGTTGTTAGGTGAGAACAAGAGTCTGAGAGACAAATAAACTATATATTCAATATGTTGTTTATATATTTAATATAACACAATACGGTATAAGTATTGACATAAATTAGTAAGTGCTGCAAAGTATTGTCAAAAGACCTAATACTTAACTTTTCTACTTCATTTATCACTGTAGAATATATATATGCCAGCTAGAAATATTTTACTAGTAAAATTGGCATTCAAAAATGGACGGTAATATTAAATGGAGAAAAAAAAATTGAAAATGTATATAGACAGTATATTAATAAATGATGATGTGATGGATGGATTTTCAAGAACAAAATAAATAAAGGGGACGGACATTTCATAAACAAGAACCAAAGACGATTAATTTTGAGAATGTAAAATTTAAATGGATCGGCAAAGAATGGGCAAACTAAATTAATTAAACATCAAACAATAAAAATAACAAACAAGAGGCCCAATGGGCCTAAATCGCTCACCTGGTATTAATCTCACAAATAATCTTTAAAGTGGACTAAAATACAGCTACAGGCAGAATATCAGTGTTTGACTCATAAGAACCTATTAAATGATTTAAACATATGACGCCTGTGACCTTGAATGTCAAACAAGGACATAAGGTTGAACAGAGTTTATAGTCGTCCAACCAAGCATGCTTCTGGCAAAATATCATTACCCTGGACCTTTTGGTTATACAGAACAAGTCATTTATTTGAAAAAAAATGGTAGTCCTTAATCCCAGCATGTTAATGGCCAAATATCATCATCCTTAGCCTTTTGCTTATTGAGAAGAGGTCGTTTAAAGGTTTTAAACATATTTGACCCTGTGACCTTTAATATATAATGAGGTCATTCGTTTGAATAAACTTGGTAGTCCTTCATCCTAGCATGCTACTGGCCAAATAGCATCACCCTAGGACTTTTGGTCATGAAAAGATGTTGTTCAAAGGTTTTAAACATATTTGACCATTGTGACCTTGATTAATTGTCAAGGTCATTCATTTTAACAAACTAGGTAGCACTTCATCCCAGCATGCTACAGGCTAAATATTATAACCCTCAGCCTCTTGGTTATTGAGAAGAAGTAGTTTTGAAGGTTTTAAACATATCTGACCCCTGTGACCTGGAAAATGGGTGAAGGTCATTTGTTTGAACAAACTTGGTAGCCCTTCATCCCAGCATGCTAAAGGCCAAATATAATCAACCTAGGCCTCTTTGTTATTCAAAAGAAGTCGTTCAAAGATTTTAACATATTTGACCCCTGTAACCTTGGATATGAGAGAAGTTCATTCATTCGAACATATTTGGTAGCCCTTCATCCCAGCATATAACGGGCAAAATATCATAACCCTAGGCCTCTTGGTAGTTCAGAAAAAGTTGTTTAACGGTTTTAAACATATTTGACCCCTGCAACCTTGAAAATGGGCAAAGGTCATTTGTTTCAACAAACTTGGTAGCCCTTCATCCCTGCATGTTACTGGCCAAATAACATTATCCTTTCCCTCTTAGGTATTCAGAAGAAGTTGTTTAAAGGTTTTAAACATATTTGACCCCTGTGACCTTGAAAATGGGTGAAGGTCATTTGTTTGAAAAAATTTGGTAGCCATTCATTTCAGCATGTTACTGGCCAAATATCATCACCCTAGGTCTTTTTGTTATTCAGAAGAAGTCATTCAAAGATTTTAACATATTTGACCCATGTGACCTTGAAAATGGGTGAAGGTCATTCATTTGAACAAACTTGGTAGCCCTTAATTTCGGGATGCTACTGGCCAAATATCATCATCCAAGGCTGTTTGGTTATTGAGAAGAAATTGTTTCAAAGGTTTTAAACATATTTGACCCATGTGACCTTGGAAATGGGAGAAGGTCATTCATTTGAACAAACTTGGTAGCCCTTGATTCCAGGATGCTACTGGCCAAATATCATCAACCTAGGCCTTTTGGTTACTGAAAAGAAGTTGATTAAGTAAAAAGTTGACGCCGGACAGACGGACGACGAACGGACGACAGACGCCACACCATGGCATAAGCTCACTTGCCCTTCGGGCAGGTGAGCTAAAAATCAAACCAACTAACAGTAAGAAAATAATTTCACAGACAAAAAAAGTCCAATACATGTATGTGCAGTGTCATCGTTATCACAGCGGTATACAAAGAGATGTACTAATGACAACAGGCCATCTCCTCTTACATACAGAATCTAGTCCATTCCTACTACATGAATAAATATTCAAAAAACATGCTATCGTTTTTTCGATGTAATTATCACAGCTGTTTCATCACACCAGACCAGGTGTGTTGACTAGGAATCGACAGGTGTGACATGTCGCACTCCCTGACTGGAGTCCTTACTTGTGGGTCGTTGCACCACCTCTGGGTTGTAGTCAGGTGGTGGCTCCACACCCCTATCCTTGCCTCGTCCATTAACATGACTCTTCACAGGTGGTTTGGAAAATTGGAGATCATGCTGCAAGTAGATAAAAATATGTATCAGCCGGTGTACTCTCCTTTTCATGTTTTATTTCAGTGCGATCCCTACAAGTCAATAGTGTAATAAAGTGTTCCTTCCTAGTCCATAGTGCTAAATAGTGTTCCATTCTAGTCCATAATGATATATAGCCATCCCCACTAGTCAATAGTGTAATATAGTGTTCCCTCCTTGTCCAGTATTCCCTCTTAGTCCATAGTGTTATATAGTGTTCCCTCTTAGTCCATAGTGTTATATAGTGTTCCCTCTTAGTCCATAGTGTTATATAGTGTTCCCTCCTATTACATAGTGTTATATAATGTTCCCTCCCAGTCCATAGTGTTATAAAGTGTTCCCACCTAGTCAATAACATTATATAGTGTTCCCTCCTTGTCCAGTATTCCCTCCTAGTCCATTGTGTTATATATTGTTCCTTCTAAGTCTAAAGTGTTATAAAGTGTTCCCTACTAGTCAAAAGTGTTATATAGTCTCCCTGCTAGTCATTAGTGTTATATAGTGTTCCCTCCTAGTCTCTTGTGTTATATAGAGTTCCCTTCTAGTCCATAGTGTTATATAATGTTCCCTTCTAGTCCATAGTGTTATAAAGTGTTCCCTCCTAGTCAATAGCGTTATATAGTCTCCCTGCTAGTCATTAGTGTTATATAGTGTTCCCTCCTATTACATAATGTTATATATTGTTCCATCCTAGTCCTTAGTGTTATATAGTGTTCCCTCCTAGTTCATAGTGTTATATAGTGTTCCCTCCTAGTCCATAGCATTATATAATGTTCCCTCCTTGTCCAGTGTTCTCTCCTAGTCCATAGTGTTATATATTATTCCTTCTAAGTCTTCAGTGTTATATTGTGTTCCCTCCTATTACATAGTGTTATATGTTCCCTCCTAGTCCATAGTGTTAAAAAAAAATGTTCCCTCCTAGTCGATAGCCTTATATAGTCTTTCCTCCATGTCCAGTATTCCCTGCTAGTCTATAGTGTTATATAATGTTCCCTTCTAGCCCAGAGTGTTATAAAGTGTTCCCTCCTAGTCAATAGTGTTATATAGTCTCCCTCCTAGTCCATATTGTTATATAGTGTTCCCTCCTATTACATAGTGTTATATAGGGTTCCCTCCTATTACATAGTGTTATATAGTGTTCCCTTCTATTACATCGTGTTATATAGGGTTCCCTCCTATTACATAGTGTTATATAGTGTTCCCTTCTATTACATAGTGTTATATAGGGTTCCCTCCTATTACATAGTGTTATATAGTGCTCCCTCCTATAACATAGTGTTATAAAGTGTTCCCTCCTATTACATAGTGTTATATAGGGTTCCCTCCTATTACATGGTGTCATAGTGCTCCCTCCTATTACATAGTGTTATAGTGTTCCCTCCTATTACATAGTGTTATATAGGGTTCCCTCCTATTACATAGTGTTATATAGTGCTCCCACCTATTACATAGTGTTATAAAGTGTTCCCTCCCATTACATAGTGTTATAGTGTTCCCTCCTATTACATAGTGTTATATAGGGTTCCCTCCTATTACATAGTGTTATATAGGGTTCCCTCCTATTACATAGTGGTATTTAGTGTTCCCTCCTATTACATAGTGTTATATAGTGCTCCCTCCCATTACATAGTGTTATAGTGTTCCCTCCTATTACATAGTGTCATAGTGCTCCCTCCTATTACATAGTGTTATATAGGGTTCCCTCCTATTACATAGTGTTATTTAGTATTCACTTCTTCGTTAGTATTCCTTCTTAATTAACTCGTGTGCTACACATGTATTTCTTTCGTTTATTTTTATTACTACACAATAATCATAAAAAACCTGAAACATTATTTAATATTATTATGCATTAAGCATTAAGAATATACATTTTTAATGAAGAATCAAATTTGGTAGAAAAACGTTGATATGTCAACTTAGTATACATTAAACATCTTAGTCTAATAAACACTGAAATTTACGAAAATTAAAAACAACAAGAAAAAATTGAATAGCTTGGCAAGCTGAATCAGTCCAGCATGCCAGAAACTGATCGCAGACTGTTGATGGACAAAAGTACAGGAAGCATGCATCACGATTCTGATATAAACTAAACGATTCTGTATCACAGCTGTAACCGATATAAACAAGATCAATTAGTTCTGGATACAGCTGTAATCACTCTAATCACAACCAATGGTGTCCAACATGATAAATTACCGTATCCCCAAGTGCATGTATCACATGCTTCATCTTTCATGCATCCATAAATCAGAGTTACTAAATACGCTTTTTGAACATTTTAAATGTGGGAGAGAAGAATTTTCAAACAATCAATCTGACAGCAACAGCCTAAAAATAATGTTCGTTTAATTGTGTCTGATCATCTATCAACAGGTTGTAAAGCCGATTACCTGTTGAATATAAAATATACAAAATATCTACCCATAACACAATGGGCACCCTAGCTAACAATATCTCCAAAAGTTAAAATAGAATCACAGAAGTTGTCACAAAATATCTACCCATAATACAATGGGCATCCTAGCTTAACAATATCTCCAAAAGTTAAAATAGAATCATAGAAGTTGTCACAAAATATCTACCCATAACACAATGGGCATCCTAGCTTAACAATATCTCCAAAAGTTAAAATAGAATCAAAGAAGTTGTTGTTACACGACATGAACTGNGTCACAAAATATCTACCCATAACACAATGGGCACCCTAGCTAACAATGTCTCCAAAAGCTAAAATAGAATCATAGAAGTTGTCACAAAATATCTACCCATAACACAATGTGCACCCTTGCTTAACAATATCTCCAAAAGTTTAATAGAATCATAGAAGTTGTCCCATAACACAATGGGCACCCTAGCTAACAATATCTCCAAAAGTTAAAATAGAATCAAAGAAGTTGTTGTTACACGACATGAACTGTGATGTTGTTACGTGACATAAACTGGGATGTTGTTGTTATGTGACATGAACTGGGATGTTGTTGTTACATGACACTGGGATGTTGTTACGTGACACGAACTGGGATGTTGTTGTTACGTGACATGAACTGGGATGTTGTTATGTGACATGAACTGGGATGTTGTTGTTACGTGACACTGGGATATTGTTACGTGACACGAACTGGGATGTTGTTGTTACGTGACATGAACTGGGATGTTGTTGTTACATGACACTGGGATGTTGTAACGTGACACAAGCTGGGATGTTGTTGTTATGTGACATGAACTGGGATGGTGTTGTTATGTGACACAAACTGGGATGTTGTTGTTATGTGACACGAACTGGGATGTTGTTATTACGTGACAGGAACTGGGATGTTGTTGTTACGTGACAGGAACTGGGATGTTGTTGTTATGTGACAGGACCTGGGATGTTGTTGTTATGTGACAGGATCTGGGATGTTGTTGTTATGTGACATGAACTGGGATGTTGTTGTTACGTGACATAAACTGGGATGTTGTTACGTGACATGAACTGTGATGTTGTTATGTGACATGAACTGGGATGTTTTTGTTACGTGACACGAACTGGGATGTTGTTATTACGTGACACGAACTGGGATTATGTTGTTACGTGACATGAACTGGGTTGTTGTTGTTATGTGACATGAACTGGGATGTTGTTACGAGACATGAACTGGGATGATGTTGTTACTGACATGAACTGGGATGTTGTTACGCGACATGAACTGGGATGTTGTTACGCGACATGAACTGGGATGTTGTTACGCGACATGAACTGGGATGTTGTTTCGTGACACAAACTGGGATGTTGTTGTTACGTGCCATGAACTGGGATGTTGTTATGTGACACAAACTGGTATGATGTTGTTATGTGACACAAACCGGGATGTTGTTGTTATGTGACACAAACTGGGATGATGTTGTTACGTGACATGAACTGGGATCTGGGATGTTGTTGTTATGTGACATGAAATGGGATGTTGTTGTTATGTGACACAAACCGGGATCTTGTTGTTACGTGACAGGAACTGAGATGTTGTTGTTATGTGACACAAACCGGGATCTTGTTGTTACGTGACAGGAACTGAGATGTTGTTGTTATGTGACACAAACTGGTATGATGTTGTTATGTGACACAAACCGGGATGTTGTTGTTATGTGACACGAGCGGGGATGTTGTTACGTGACAGGAACTGGGCTGTTGTTGTTATGTGACAGGATCTGGGATGTTGGTGGTATGTGACATGAACTGGGATGTCGTTACGTGGCATGAACTGTGATGTTATTGTTACGTGACACGAACTGGGATGTTGTTGTTTTGTGACAGGAACTGGGATGTTGTTATTACGTGACAGGAGCTGGGATGTTGTTGTTATGTGACACGAACTGGGATGTTGTTACGTGACACGATCTGGGAGGTTGTTGTTACGTGACACGAACAGGGATGTTGTTGTTACGTGACATAAACTGGGATGTTGTTACGTGACAGGAACTGGGCTGTTGTTGTTATGTGACAGGACCTGGGATGTTGTTATTATGTGACAGGATCTGGGATGTTGGTGGTATGTGACATGAACTGGGATGTCGTTACGTGGCATGAACTGTGATGTTATTGTTACGTGACACGAACTGGGATGTTGTTGTGACGAGACAGGATCTGGGATGTTGTTGTTACATGACAGGAACTGGGATGTTGTTGTTATGTGACATGAAATGGGATGTTGTTGTTATGTGACAAGAACTGGGATGTTGTTGTTATGTGGCAGGACCTGGGATGTTGTTGTTATGTGACACGAACTGGGATGTTGTTGTTACGTGACACGAACTGTGTTTCATTGCCTGCCATTGGTTTTATAAACTTGACATGCTTGTATAATGAGAAGTTTAGGGTAAGCTACATGAATATAAGCATATTAATATCGTGACACTTTTGTGACAATTCATCAGTTACACACCTTATCCATTAACAAAACATATCTTTAATATTCAGTAAACCATGATTTTATAATCAAGCGTTT